CCTGACCCCATCCTGTTGGAAATACTTTTATCGATTCTCAGGTATCGAACTCTTGCTTATTAACGCATTAGTTTGTGTTACAGAAACCATCGATTGTATGATACAGACTGTACTATCTGAAGTATTTTGTACTTTTGATGTAATTTATTCACTTCAATAAAATAGAACGGTTTGAAATGAACACAGTGTGTGCTCTGATATAAATAAGTACGAGTCACTCAAATAGCTTTGTACGATATACATAAGAACGTACTTTGGTCTAATCGAGTACACTTTTGTTCCTTTATTCTAGGTTCAAACCGAGTATTGGCATTTCGGTCGTTGCACTCATGGTGCAAAACTAACTTCGGTGAATAACCCATGTATGTACTGTACAATTTATGTTCAGTTGAAACTTTTCACAACAATATAATACAATTTTAAACTACATATCTCGAATGTGACTTCATGCTTCTGACGTTAAAGTTTTAGACTTATTGCCATCAGCATTATTTCTTTATATTATGTTGAGTAAACATCTGTCGTGGTGTTACTAATGGACTAAGGAAAGTCGGGGAAATCGAGCATCAACACTATATGTCAGAAATAGAAGATTAGTTAGAACATTTCGATGCCCAATGGTTTTCACATAACTTTAGGAGATATAGTATTTTAAGTCATTCTATTAATGCTATTGATAGAAAAGCCTATAGTTTATTTTAAAAGATTTACGCCCCGAAAAACCTGTTCAGCAAACTAAAGATATCACTTACAGATCATTTTCACGTAAACACATTCGCAACAACTGAAAAAGCACAATTCAATAAATTAGTTCGTGCCCTGAACCAGACTGATAGAGACCTCATACTTCAGCCTCATATACAAACTATCAAGTGCAGTTTCAGCGAACAGCTGCATATCTAACCTTATGACCGTCTGATTACTGGTATAAGCAACCCTTAACTAGAGGAAAGGCTGAAATGAATCATTCCTGCACTTTTCGCATAGCTGAAAAAATTTTGTTTTACTAATGAAGATGACCATTTTGAAGCTGTTAAGAAATAACGCGATTTTTTATTATTGAGTGTAAATAAATCTTCCTCAGTGCAGAAACATAAGACTTCTGACAATAAAAATTCCAATTAATTAGGACGAGCAAATTCCTTGAAGAGCAGTTCTTTCGTATTTGGGTAATAAATTCTATCTTTCATGTGGTATGCTCCAAGTTCTTAGTTCATGTCAATTTCGTTACGTTGTAGGTGTTAAAAGTTAGACATATACGAGACGTCTGTCAAAAATCCGAGTAGTTTAGCACTAAAGCACTAAATAATGTTGGATCAAGACCAGAAAATTTGGACAGTTGAGTGGATTCATCGTAGCTCACTACCGCCTGCAGCAGTACTTCACATTTAGTACGAAAATTAATTGAAAACAGGCAATTCACATTTATTTACCGTTGATACTGGTAGCATGTAGTCAATTATTTCCATGTTAAACCACTTGTTTCTCTGCAATGATGTCCATTAAAACCTAAAAACAGTGCGATTACCGTCGTTATGGACCGCAAGTTACCAATTATTGATAAATTTATCATCCCATTGAGCAACGAAGAGAATAGTTACATGTATAGTCTTTTCCTGGTTAGTGAGTAAGGGTCAATTGTGCTTGGGCTAAAGGGCCTGAGACTTCTAAAATTGTCTGAAGACGTGGTAAAACGATAACGGATCATAATCATTCTCTCATAATCATGAACCTTAAAGAAATCTCTGAATTTACCCTCAGTCTGCGGGACAAAAATAACAGGATGTTATGCTAAGAGTTAGACAGGGAGCCCGATTTTCGCAAAATAGAGCCTCTGAAGGTCACATGGCTCACTCGGGGAAAGGACCGTAACCATCGAAATCACCAAAGACTTCGTGTGACGCTCTTTAACGCTGCCGAGGTACTCGATGTCCTGTTGGCTAGTCACTCACTGAAATCAGATGAAAATCTAAGCATACCACCTGATATACCTTATTCCGAGCTTAATCTCATTAGGAACATCCTAAGGAACCTCGCGAGACGATTTTTCATGGAAGAAATATCATTGTGCAAGGTGTACCGGAAAACACGAACGGTGATCACAAAAACTCTGGTATTCGGGGACGGAGATACATCAAGCAGTCCTTGAGGCTCAAAAACATATTGACTAAAATAATGGGGAGACTAGCAATGAATGGCAGGGATTTTTGACCCCGGTTGATGAATATAAACTTCCCATCCTCCTACATGGTGGCTGTAAATCTCGAAGCATTTCGTGCCAACAGACACCAGTTAACAAGTGGAATCCATATGCAATCGGATAGGCCACATGATGCCAGGATCAAGCATAAAGGCAAGTTGGAGTTGACTATTACACTTGTGTACTGTCAAGACCACGAAAACAAACTTAGAAAAAACAGGGGCTACCAACTTGGAAAACCCTGTGTAGGTAGGTTACCTGTCTATACATATAAAGCTCATACAGATAAAAACGAAAGAGAAGTTCACGCGTTCCAAACTGAAAGCATGAACTGCTTGCATATGAGCGCCGCAAGTTTATCGAATAAAAAGGATGAGCTTCGTGAACTCAGTAATGCTAAGACACTCATCTGATAGTAATTTCTGAAACATGGATATCTTCTAAATTTGCGGACCAAGAGCTAGCAATACTCGGGATTTCTTTGCTTCCAAACGACAGAAAAACAGCAATGAGGGGGCGGAGTATCCCTATACTTGCGGTCTTGATTGGAGGTACATCAAGTGTACAACCGAGAGTGCCCGGTAAGATTGTCTCCCACCACTAGGTGTCCAGTTGTAGTAATATACAGAGTGCCCACTGCTGACATCGAATACGACAATCGTATGTTTTAAGGACTACCCTGCTCTACTCGTCTCGGATTCACTCATATCACGATTCTAGGGTATATCAATCTTCTCAAGGTTAATTTCATGGAACATACGTGTATTGGAGGTGAAAATTCTACTGAAGCTCGGATTTTCAACCTCATTGAGGATCTAGGATTATTCCAAAATTTGACGTCGATAACTCGTTGGAGAAACAGTCAGAATGTGTATTTACAAACGAAGAATTTCTAGTTGACAACCTCCTTATATTTGCTCCCCTAAGAGAAAAACGACCACTCCGTCATAGCCCTAAGTTTTATTAGCAAAACCAATCTAAGACATCCTACAGACAACAGGCGCTGGAATTTCAAATGGTTGAATGTGTTAGCTTCACAGGACGATCTACAACAGGTGGACTGGGAGGTTCACCCTCAACTTTACGTGGATACTCATTGAGATTTCTTAAAGCCAACTGTTCCGCTAACGGTCTCCAATATAAACAAGCACCCCACAGTCATCTGGAATCGCACTGCCCCAAAAGGCATTACTGGTAGGAATACAAACGAACTGGTAACAACAACGCATACAGACAATTAAAATAGTACGTAATATATGCACAAAGGCGATAGAAGAAGACAGGTTTCAGTACTAGAATAGGCTTATGGATAAGTTTGTCTCCAATCCGTAAAGATAATCCCATCATGAAGTCTCTTCTCGACAAAACAAAACTAGAGTTTCCAACTGCTAGGTCCTAATGGCCCGACCAACGACAGAGGTGACGTCGCTAACCCTCTGGCAGAACAGTACTCTCCGAAAATTTAACAGACCCGCACCAACGTTATTGATGAGACCTTCACCTGAGACCTCACAGGAATCACAGTAGTGAACCTGAGTGCTGACTTGCTGTACCGGAAACTGCGGCACTTAAGAAAGACCCTTTTCCTGGCCGAGATATGGTCCATTCTGCTACTCTGAGGGAAGTAGCTTCAATGTTGGCAACACTGCTTGGAGTGATGTTCTCAAATTCACTAGTTTCAAGGCTGGCTCACATCACACCAATTTTCAAAAGAAGTTGACACAGCAAAACTTCAAGTTATGGACCAGTGGCACTTCTCTCTATACCCCCGAAAATTTCAGAGTCCATGATATATGACGGTGTACACGACTACTTAATATCCATAAACTTCTTTTCACCTCGACAGCACGATTTTAGAAAAGGCCACCCTTGTATAACTAACCTGCCGGCTGCAGTGGACAGTTGGGCAATCATCTTTGGTTGCAAGGGGCTGGGTTGACGTCATTTACCTTAACTCCTGAAAGCTTTTGGTGGGGCCAACCATATATGTCTTACCAATAAGCTCAAACGATTAGGTACCAAATCTCATTTAGTAGAGTGGATCACTTCATATCTAAGAAGTCAACATTTTAAGATCAGGCTTATTTTCAATTTACCTCAAGCTATGGAATGTCGTAGTGGGGTCCGTCAGGGTTCAGTACTAGGACCTCTTCTTATCATGATTTATATAAACGATCTTCCACAGGAGTTATTGTAGGATTTATTAATTTTCTCTGATGTTTTGGAACTCTGGGGATTATTGTGCAACTAAGAGGACGGACGTTTCCTTCAGGGGGGTCTGATTCGACTTCAAAGTTGGGCAGATAACAACGAACTTACCTTTAACACTTCAAAGTTTAAAGTAACCCATCTGAGACATGTCGTACACATGTCGCAGACTTCAACTACAACTGAGGTGACCTCCTACAAGAATATCTCTTGTTGAGAAAGATCCATGAGTGTTTGCACCCTAAGATCTAAATCTTTACGCTAACTTACGCAAACCTCACCATTTGAACTATTTGAAGTGACCCTTTGTAGGTCGCTCATGGCGCAAGGTTTCGTTGTTGTTGTCTTGATTCACGGCATTGTGCTCTCAGTTATCTGACTGTTTTCATACAGCTGCTGTGTTATTACTAATAGTTGTCAATCCTTTTCAGTAACAAGCGTAAGTCTACTTTGTGCCTGCTCAGTTGTCTGCTCACTTAAAACTCACTGTGCTTTCGTCTTCCGGATTCTCTCACGCTACTGTTCACTCTTCCAGTGCATAACATACAACCACGGTAAACACGAATCTGCCAAAGACCTAACTTTACATCGGATGGCTGATGGAATTCGCGATTCACCTCCCGGCCATTTAGACTTATCGGTTATTAATAGAGGTCAGAAAATTATTGATGAATTAAAAAACTCAGACTTTCCTTCGAAATACGCGTACGTTTTCAAATTTCTCATATTTAACACCCCAGACTCTATGCTGCTGTTCTAACTGGCTTTCGTTCAGTTCGTCTGGCAGCTGAATGGTAATTTAAGTCTTGTAATTGTTTCAGGATATCATCCCGCCTAAATGATCCACTTTTCGTCAAAGATTTTGAAGTCGACTTTCATGTACTTCTGAGTCTGGGAGGAAACTTTGAATCGGACGTCTCGTCCTTTTTGTCAGCTGCGCGAGTCGCTTTGGGATGGGACTATGTTTGTGATCATCGGGCACAAATCCCTTTGCTTCATCTGAGAGTAAGTATACTAGATTGAATAGTGATCTTCAGGTCAAACCCCATGATGCACTTTATTTGAAATCCGTTTTCGTGAAATCGTTCGGTCTGTCGATCCCTCTTCTAGTGACTGATGAAAAGCCCCTGGAGTTCTTAGTGAACACGGACACCTCTGTTGTATGCAAATTTTCCGACTCCAAGATATATACTCTACTTCAAAAGCTTTCAGAAACCTTTCTTGAAAACTTGAAAAAAGGTAAGAAGGCAAAGGATGTCTGAGTATTTCTTCATACTAGTGATCCTTTATAGCATTTAGAACCCTTGATATTTTGGTTCATTAATTTGCTGGGGCTATCAAAAAGAGCTTCTAAGCAACTGTACATCCAACAGAAGCTTCCAAAATCCAGCGAAATCCATTAACCTTTCGATTAGAATCGCCATTGTGTTACCGATTTCGTGGCTGTTCGGTGAACATGCCTTGCTGTGTCGTGATAACTTCTTCCTGTAGAACTATGTCCATGAAATTCCTGTTCTTAAGGTGACCCAAAGGGGTATTTTACCTGCAGTAATATCCAGTGAGTAGTACTTGAACTGGAACCAGGGAATGTCCTTCAGTAGAAGTAGTATTTTTAGCTGATGAAACTTTTTTACCGACTCAACACAGGGTTTGAACATTTCTCAGTATGCATGTTGCACCTGAACTTCAGGCAATAAGGAATAACACTCATAAAAACGTTTTTTTGAGTAGTCCTCCTTACGTTAGCTCTGTTTTTCAGACCTGTCGGTTTAGAAACAAGTGAGCAATAATGTTATTTCTGTGGTCGAGTTCTGACTTGTTTTTAGTTGGACAACATTACTGGAGGTTCAACTTAACCATGAGATTAACCTTAGTAAAGCGACCAGCACAATTTCTTCCTCTGGCTATTATGTTTTTGCTTTTGGCCCCTCATCTCTCCAACCAAATTTCCTTTATTTTTAATGTAAAAGTTCAGAATGAAAGGGCACCAAAAACACCAGATCGATTTAAAATAATATTACTGTAAAGAACAAGTGTTTCATCCAATGTAGCGCAGTCGGGTCGTCACGATAAGTAAGTTTAATCGTCAGATAAAGATATTAGCTATGCTTGTAGTACCGAAATAAATAGTGGAGTTTAAAGGATACCGCCTAAATTTTGCTAACAAGCTTCATAACTACATAATCGTGTTGGATACTGTTTACCTTAGCATTGCTAACATATGAACGACGCTACAATATGACTAGTAATCAGTCATTCGTAAGCCAGATACATTCAAATTCAGTAGTCATGCTTTAGTTACAAAGTAGAATTGAGTGCAGCCGTTTCGCTAACTATAGTTAACATTTAATAGGGTTTTGTTGGTTCAAGTGGTGCACTTTCGTAATTTGCGTTTCGTTATGCTTTCTTAAAATGATCTTTGTTTCATATGACATTAACTATACTTATCGACCTAGGTACTTCGTAATATCAGTAGGAAAATGACCCAGTAAATTTTGTTTACTTTCGTGACGCTAAGTGTTTGGTCCTTCCAATTCTATCCCATCTTTTCTAGCTGACGTAAACGTCTGCGTGGTTTCTAATCCAGGCAAATTAAATTATCCTTTCACATTAGTCAGTGGTATTAATAATGCTGAGAAAAATTCATTTTGATTCAACTAATTGAAATGCATTTATCTAATCATTACATTATTAACGAATTCGACCATCGGTTAATAATCAGTTAAAATTCTGTTTATACTCACATGATCCTCGTCTGCGGGATCCAAGTTATGAGGTACGTTCATTGTTTCTGTCTTTTTTATACACATACATAAAAATTGAGAGCTTCGCACTACTGGGTTTATTACCAAATTTCTTTACCAGCAATATATTTCTTTGGGTGGTCATTCTTCTTGTCGCAATGAAATATATCAACAGCTGATTAGAAATATTCAGATGAAAGAGTCGATTAATCGGCAGTATAGTATTTTGGAATACATTTATTTGTTTCTGATCAAAACCATGACTCCATGTTACGATTGATAAGTGATTAGGTCGCTAAATATGGCTCCAAATTTAGTTTGTTGTAAATTGTGTTTTATTAATGTGATATCATAAACACTAAAGCTATCAGTTTACTGGAATTGTGATTGCCACTCCAAATGTAGACTTTTTCTGTACACTATGGGCACTAATTGGGGATTATCTTTTGTTTGTTCAAACTTTCATAGACTTAACGAACTGCAAACGGAAGCTTAGTTATTCAGTTATTTAAGATGAGTTTCTGAATTAAGTTCAACATGATCACATTATTTATCTAAATAGCATAATTTTCACGATCCTACCTACCCGAACTATTTACTTATTTAAACAAACATTGGTGCAAAGAGGTGTCAAACAGATATGCGACACACAAATCATTCGATTTGTGTAAGGGAGGAGATACTACCCGGACTCTCAGACCAAGGCAGACTTACCCGAACACATACAAGTGATATTTAGAATAAGTTATCTTGATTCTTAGTTGGTAGAGTTTTATGTAATAAACTACGGAAATACAGCTTTTGATGTATGCACTATTGCCCTCTGGTGATCTAGTTTTTCAATCAATGTGCTAATGATTTTTGCCAGTTTTGATAGAATCATGGGACTTGATTTTCTGATTAGCCATTGTATTTATCAACATTCACATACTTGTTTTCAAGCTAGACGTGCTATCTTTCAAATACTAAATTTGTATCTTAAGTAAGTGTTACAGTGACATCTCTTCTAAGGCGTCAATATATACTTTTTTTGCTACTCAATGCACTAATTATCCCATCGTTATATGTGTATACCTGCGTACAACTATTTGAGCAATGACCTATATTTTAAATAGGTGACTCTAAATCCAAAATTTCCAAATTTTACACAGGTTTACCTACTGTAATGTAAAAAGCTCGATAATCTGTTATATGCCAACATATCACTCACAGTTCACAGTCCATTTAATGTATCTGTACTTAATTATTGACTTTGGTTGTTGTCATTAAGGTACAAAGGACTTGTGGAAATAAGTTCAATGTTTGTGGAGTTTTGTTCTCTGAGCTGGATGGTTCGGTCTTGGAGCTTTCATCGTTATTCTGGGCGACATCATTATAGAAACTTTACTTCTACCTGAAGTTTTTGCTGATGATGTCGTTTAGAATAACGATGAAAGCTCCACAACCAAACCGTCAAGCTTAGAAAACAACACCAAAATCATCCACCTGAGATTCAAATCTTCACCATCTCATAAATTCAATTTGAAAATAGTTTCTATCAAATTGGTGTCTGCTAGAAAACAGGTCTTTTTTAAATGAGCGACTTATCATAGAAGTATTATGATCTTCAGTCCATTATTGATTTCCAATCGAATCAGAGGATAAAGTCCAGTAAACCCATGTACGCTTTACACCTATCAGACCAATGACATGATTTGACTGACGACAATTGACTAGTTAACGTTCGACAAAATCTCTGTTCTTATCAGCCCACCGAAATTCTCCACTTTTAACGATCAGTTAAAATGCCAAGATCGTCAGATAAAGTACTCTTTATTCTAATCTATTCATCATAACTCAGGACATTGCAACATGCATTAAATAACTGATTTTACCGAAACATAAAATAGGAATCCCAATGTGCGCACAATTAGGTCATCACTAAAATAGAGTAATAAATGTATAATTATTTAACGACAATTTCGGAACGGCAAAACATGTAACGATAGTTAGTAATTGAGATAAGAAAATAATACAACCCAAATGTTTAATAATTATACGTTAAAAATTTGCATTTTATTTCTTCGTGGAATGGTTTTAAAAGTTTCACTCTCCCCAAATATCCTCTCTTACTTACCAGTATGTGTCAAAACCCTGTAATTTTAGTATTTCTAATCTTAGTATAATTTATAGATTTTCGGTAAGCTTTCTTATGCGAACGTGACTTGGTTAAGGTAATGCGTTAGTCCCCAGTCACTTAGCTGAATGATCCCACCTACGGTCTCATCCATGTTTTACGTTTACCAGCTGTCTACGTAAAATAAATAATTTCATGGATTAGGGTGTTATAAAGTCAGCTGAGTCAAAAGTTAAGTAAATATGAAGTGGTAATTGGAAGTAAGTTCTCGAAGAACCCCTATCTAACAATACTGTCGGTCAGTTGCTTATACTATTGAAGGTTTACGATGACCCAACTTCAGTGGTATGTGTTTTCTCAGCCCTATTCATTATTCATGATATATATATATATATATAATGCAATGGTAGTGTTAACACTGGTTGGTCCTTGAATTATTATCAAAGTTATTCAATTCAGTTTTCAGCTCTGAGGAAATCCCGTCATCGTAGGTGCAGTGGGATTACTAGATGAAGAAATTAAACTTCACGTCGCGCTTTGTTTCATGTTAATTAGTTGGAGACTATTGGGTAAAATCCTTCTAGTACTAGACTTGGCTTTCGTGCTGGTTTCTACATATTAACAAGACGTTTTGCGGTTCTAATCTATACCACCCAGTACCGCATTCAGAGGTGATATTACTAAACATAGCTTCCTATCTAGTTACCACAATTTTCTATTGTAATTAAGGCTTTTTAGATTTCTAACAATCTACTGAATAGCTAGTTCTTTCGACGAATTAGTAGTCTAAAGATAGTTATTTCGAATTCTAATATAATGCATGTCTTTTCCTAAGTACACAGAATTACGACTAGCTTATTATATTAGCTAGATTTTATTTCTAATACAATGGTTTCAAAAGAGCACGTATGTTGTCACATCACAAATAGTTAAATGTTCGCGCATATAAATTCTAGGTTATCAACCGTTCGGTTTGTGTGTTGTATCTAAAACGAATATTATGTATTTATGCTAAAATAATTCGTCATTATATAAATATTTTGAGATGATAAGGAAGATTTGTAGCTCATGTAGATGATTTTGGTGGAATTTTGTTCTCTGAGTTGGATGATGTGATCGTGGAACTTTCGTTCTCATTCTGAACAACGTCATTAAGACAAACTTCGGGTAAAAGTCAGGTATTTGAATCTTTCTACATATGACTAACAACTTGTTCTGTTGACCTTCATGTAGTTAGTTATTGCTGATCTTTAACCTATCGCCTGTATATCTATTTTTATTTTTTCTCTCTGGCTTGATTTTCAATCCCATAGTTGTCCATGATTTCTCTAATCTATTGATAAATTGATTTTATTTTGATGTGTTTAGTAATTGAGCTGAGTGTCAAATTCCTTAACGTTTCTAGGACTTCTCTCTATTCCCTCTGTCCAGGATTTCAACATTTTTACAATCAAATTTGTGTCCAGAATTTTCCACATACATTGATATAAGTGAAGATACATTGTGACGTTTGCCTGTTATTTATTAATAATAGAGTACACAAACTGGTAATTGATTAGTGGCTTGAATTACAACCATCGACTGATGCCGATTTTCACTCAAATAAAATGTTAAGTATCCTCACTGGCTTTCCATCGCTACAATATGTGCCAATGCAGATCAGTTTCCATACGACCTTTTAGATTTGAAAGTTCATAAATGCATCCCAGATATCTCAATCCAAAATGTCATGAACGCCAATCTTTCTAGTATCATTATCTGGTAGTACTATCTTATCTGTATAACCTTAACCGGTTTAATATGTCTAGAGATGTGGGTATAGTCATTTATGTACAAGTATTCATACGCTCTTGAATCGACGGAACATCGTTCAGATACGAAACCTATTATGCTATTCCATGACCATCCAAGTGTCAGATATCTTTGAAATATAAGATTTAAGGGTTTATTAAATTAGCTTCTTACTTTATAGATAATAGTGGTAGAATAGTAGTACTAATCCCAATCTAATTTACTTACCAAGTACGGGTTTATGTATCTGTCTTTGAAAATTAGTGATCTTGTCCTGGTTGCCAAAACAGAAGGTAAGTAGTGTGCGAAAAACGAACTGTTGGTTAAAAGCTGAGTGCTTTAACCAGAAAGAAAAAATCAAACTAGAGTAATGGAAAGCAGTCGGTAGGGATTATATCTGGCTCCCTTACCTAGGCGAACGCTAGCTAGTTAAAGCACTTCGTCTCGTGTTTCTCATGGACATGACTAACATCCATTTAAACCATTTCAATTCTAAGATTTCGAAAACCGGTTCTTATATTTAATAATTTACGCCAATTTTCGTTCCATCGTAGCAGTGAAATACTTAATTTGCAAAATATGGATTACGCCTGTATAATGGAAGTAATTTAACTTCTATATTAATTCTAAGCTTTCAAAGAGTCCTAAACAACATTTGTTAAATTTATGAAGATTTCTAAATAATCCCTATTACCTATAGGTCTCAAAATAACTTGATTGTTTGCTAGCTTGTTATATTTGAGTAGCTTGTTATTATAACGATTTCTCAAGTGCTTCATCTTACGTTATTAAAGTCGTGCATCTGTAGCCCAGTTACTTACTTATTCCTGTTATCCCTCGTGAGAGCCTAGTCAACTGATCAGGACTATCCAACCAACTCTATCTTGGGCTCTCCATCCCAGTTGTTTCCAACTGCCACTCTTTTGATGTCTGCCTCCCTTTCCCAACGTAATGTGTTTTCTGGTCTTCCTGTTTTCCTTCTCTCTCCGGGATTCATAACCAAGGAAGTTGATGCATAGTAACGAGTTCCATTTGATTGGTTGTTCAACAATAATCCGTAGTGTCGCGTTTTGTCGTGTACACGACCGTTCCTTACTGAATCCAGATCGTTGATCTCGAAGTTGTGTTTCTACCGAACCTTTCATTCAGCGCAACGATTGCGTTAGCAGTTTAAGTTTTGTATTTTATTATTCATCCTTATAACACCACCATTGACATTCCTTTTCATACTATAGTATTGTAATATGGTTGTTCGGCACGTCTGATATTAAACATTCTCATTGTAAAAATTAGAACATGTGTTCTTCTGATATTACTTGAGCAAGTATTTTCGGATCTTTAATAATCTATAGATAATAGGATTTAAGATAGCTGTGTAGAAAATTGTAATGGAAGATATAATTTTCTCTAGTTGGATAACTACTGTGTCATGATTAGTACATTTGATCATTAATGATCGTTATCGTCGTATCATCACAATCTATTTAAATTAGAAGTTATCTGTGGCGATTGTTTTATTAATGCAATTTACTAAGAATCTTAGTAAGACCACTGTAAATGGAATAATTTTGAAGATTTTAACTACAAATGAAATATACATGTCCTTAAATTCCGTATTTATTTATTTTTTTGATAGGTATTTGAAATGTTAACAGATGTAGAATTCTATCCATTTTCCCCACTAATCAGTTCACATATCACTAATGATTGTAATAAAAGCGGTGATCAGAAATCTTCAACTTTTATTGCTTGTGATACTAAATTGACAGATAGTTCAAATGACAATCAGTCACAGTGTGATGTATCTTTGAATCAAGTCCCTGCTTGTGTAATCAATTCTCCTGGATGCCGAGAACGTTTTCTAGAACATTACGTTGGTGACTACATATTATTGTTTGATTCAGTTTCTCTTACTGAACGACAAGGATGTCCAGTAGGAATTAATTTGTGCACTGGTGAGTCTGGTTTGTTTAACATATCTGCTGGTAGACGTATACCACAAAGTCAAACTTGGACATTACATTGGTAAGTTAAATTTGCATATCATATTCTTGTGTGTAGTTCTATCTAACAGTCTTATTTCATGTTTATTATAAGTTTAGAATTTCTACTAATTTCAGCACCACTGAAGTTATGTATAAAAATTGATGTATCATTTCTGTCTGTAAACCAAATTGGGTTAAGTGACCATTTAACAGAATACAGATTGAAATCGTTTATCATTCGAAAGATTTTTCCTCATTAAAATGTTTTCTTGGTTCCAATTTATAAGAAAGGGCGAAAATCCTCTTCTGGCAACTTCCTAGGGATCAGTTTAACTAACATAGTCTGTCAGTATCAGTAATACTTCAACTTTATTTATTTATTTAAACACATAAACATTGGTATAAGGAGGCACTAAATAGATATGCGCCACAAATCAGAAAAGGGAATAGACGAGTGACACAATATACAATAAAAATGAGTGTTACCAAATAATTTTGAACGTAATTTGTCAAAATTCAAATTAAAGCTAAAATAATTCTTTCTAGATGTAATCATTCGATTTGTGTTTGGTTTGGGATACTGCCTGAGCACTCAAATCGAGGCAGGTGGTTCACTTAGTAAGCCACTCCCTAAACCTTTGACCCAGACGTCTAATCCACAAGGAAATGGAGCGACGTTAGGAGATGTAGTCTCATGGTAACCATTGATCAACAATGTGTTCATACGCCATTTGTTCCCACAGGAACTTGGATTCTATGTGCTTCGTAGGTTTGGAACCAGGGTTCTACAAGTCCCCTAGGTGGATCCTCTGTTCTCACCAACCCTGTCAAGGCTCTAGACGTTCGCTTCTCATCTTCCTAATCTTGTGAACAACGCTCTTCCCATGAGAAGGCGAGGAGTGGAACTTCTCTGTCAGTGGTTGTATACGTGTGGCCATATGAGAGCACTTCGTGAGGGGAAGCAGACTCTCAACCTTCAAGCGTACCAGGGCATTTGAGGGCAAAGCTGCTCCCCCCAAGAAAGACCGAACTCTCAACCCCTGGTTTGCAAGACTAGTGCTCTGACAACTGAGATATTTATGCATATGAGGGCCGTCGAGAGTACGTTGGGTATTCACTTGTTGATTAAGTATGCGCAAATGATATAGTTCTGTTTGGCGAAGACGCTGACAAAATGGAACCTTCTCGCCACCTTAAGCAACAAGATTAGCATGTTTGAGACGCGATTCTTTTTCCCTAAGTGCAAAATGTTACTTTGTGATCGACCTGGACCATCGCTTGAATTTATGATAAGGAGTGAAGTAGTTAAGCGTGTCAGGTACTTCATTCATCTCGAGAGTCATATCAGTCTCAATGGTTTGGTATTTGATGAAATCTGGGCACAGATTCGAAAGATTCTTTTGGCCTTGATAACTAGCGTCACTTGTGGCGTAGGTGATATATCCGTCTACTAACCAAAAGACAAGTTTATTGCCCAGCAGTTCGGAAAACAGTGTGAATTACAACACACTGGGTTATAAATCAATATTACTAGGGTAGGTTTAGTTTAAGCAAAATCTCATTAAATATTCCCATTTAGGGATTAAAAAAATATTTCTGAACACGTAAATGAGGGAGTTAACTTCTGTATGCCTAAGTTTTCAGTAAATCTTAGTATGAGCCTCTAGGCCCCTTTATACAACACCACAAAGGCTAATTGATATCAGTCCTATGAAACATCTCAGCCAAATGTTCTAAGCATTACCTGTCATCTAGGGACCATTGAATGAGCAATATTAAGGTTAGACGCAGGGAACTTGGCGAAGATGGCAAGTTGATTGATAAAGCAATTACTCCTCATCGAACTTGATTGTCAGAACATCTGTTACGTATGTTTAACCACCGCCTAAATCGAGCGCCGATGTTGGTTGATGTAGAAATAGTTTAGAAGAAAGCTAGAGGTGACCAAACCAGGATGCGGTATCATTCCATTAAATTACTGAGTCTGAGTCATGTTGTTGAATGTACACCACCTGATTTAGGTTCTGGATGATCAAGGGTTATGGACTGAATGATATGGATCAGAATTGTTCACTATCTAACAAATCCACTCTTCTCGATCTTGAATTTCAGTATTCTTATCTTTCCACTCTGTCTGTTCAAAACATATTCTTAATACTCATTCTTTCTGTTTATGATTGCTATTACATAATTTCAATATCTTTTGCCTCTCATCTTGTTAATTCCTATCTCGCTGTACTGATGCGGTGTAGTAACTTGGGTCAACATCTATCTGTTTAAACTCTACATTGATGATAAATTACATCCTTGTCACTACATCTTAGTTAGAACCAAAATAAATTTATTGAAATGAAATCTAATACTTTATTTGTCATGTTTTCATCAATACATTATATGTGAATTATAATAATACAAACGTAATCTCTCTTTATTTGAATTTTTTCATGTTTTTGGTTTAAAGTTCCGTCCCACTAAACTTTACTTCTTCAGCTAAATCATGCTTCAAACAACATTGCCCAACTAGTACAGTAAGTAATCCATTATGTAGTAAACAATTTATTTAGAATATTACTTATACTATCTTATTTTTTTCCATGTCCTGTCGTGTTCTTTCTTTTAGTTAATTATAGTTTTTACGTCTTGAATTTAATCTTCACGTAGAAATTTTAATTAAGTTCACTGAATGTCTCAAAATTTCTGACTATCTCAGGGATATTTTTAGTTCTTCTATGAATATCTATGCACTTTCCACTGTTTTTATGCATTTTAAATTATTACCGCTTGTTACCAGACAGTTATACAGGATAGTACAAATCTGATCATTGTATTATTATGCGTTTAAATGATTTATCTTAATTGCATAGTAGTAATGTCATGTTAAACACAATTGTGTTACTTATATCTTGAAGAGAAAACAAGCATTTGAGCACAAAAGCATAAATACATTTTATTTCAGATAATTAAAATAACCCATAGTGTCATTGAATAAGAAAAAGAGAATTCAGCGCAGAAATTTTTCTTTTCGACGAAATCATTTAATTAAGCTATATATTCGTATATATAGTTATATGGAAAATGTATGTCTATAGAAGGATAGAATGAATTGTATCACAAAAATGGATTCGACAATAAATAACAAATGAGGTTAACGTACTAATCAAGGGGTAAGGAAGAACAAAATTTAAGGGTCAGATAATAGTCCAATTGACAGATATGAAGAAAAACGACAAAACAACAAAGATGCATAATAATAGACTGGATAATAATCAAGAAAACTTGTAAAAGGTAATAATAATAAATGATTAGAGTTTAAAGTGCAAAATAGTAATAATAAAAGTGCATTAAAAAAACACCTAGAAACATACCCATTAAGGGAATTAGGGCCAGGGAAGGATGAAAGGTTGGACAAATCGTTTCTGCACGCAAAGTTGTGGATTGCCAATGCCACTGCGGTGCATGAAATATTGATTCGAACCCCCTTCGATCCAGTTCCTTTGACTCTGTAAACTATTTTAAACGAAGAGTCTTTTGGAGCGATATGTCTACAGTTGATTAAGTGCTCCTGTATAGAACTCGTGATTGTTTTTCGCTCCCCTTTCAAGAGCCAAGCCGGATAATGTTCCGAGATGCGTTTGGATAATGATCACTTTGTGCGGCCTCTGTAACATGCCCCACATGAGCAAGTAAATTTATAGATACACATTGAAGTGGGTATGTTTCTAGGTGTTTTTTTTAATGCACTTTTATTATTACTATTTTGCACTTTAAACTCTAATCATTTATTATTATTACCTTTTACAAGTTTTCTTGATTATTATCCAGTCTATTATTATGCATCTTTGTTGTTTTGTCGTTTTTCTTCATATCTGTCAATTGGACTATTATCTGACCCTTAAATTTTGTTCTTCCTTACCCCTTGATTAGTACGTTAACCTCATTTGTTATTTATTGTCGAATCCATTTTTGTGATACAATTCATTCTATCCTTCTATAGACATACATTTTCCATATAACTATATATACGAATATACAGCTTAATTAAATGATTTCGTCGAAAAGAACATTTTATTTTGTTTGGTTCTCTTCAGCTACTTACAACCTATGATGTTTAAAAGTCATAATTACAAAACAGTTATAAATTACTGACATGAAAGAGTTTCGTTGGAATTTTCTTTGAAGACACATCAGTATACTATAGTAAGAATGTAAATAAATTTAATAGACTGAATATTATAAATATATACCCTGTGTTAAACAACGTTCTACAACATTGATTGTAACAAAAGTCAAAAGGGTTAGAAACAATTTGTTACGTAAAGAACAAACGCTGATAATAAATAAAGCTCAGTTAATTAAAATAAGATTATTAATCTAGAGGACAGTCGAAATACAAACATTTAATGATTAATTAGTTGAAAGAATGAGTTTTATGATGTTATAAAGGAATATTTGTCACTAAGGAAATGAAAAAGTAACAACCATTTCCTTGTGAACATGTTAATCAGGTTTCTGATGCTTGATAGCAACGGCTTCAGCAAACTTCAGTAGACAGGTGATTGACTGTTTATTAATCAAGTTTAAGGATCACAAGGTACCTAATATCCTATATCCAAGATATGTTTAGTAATTGTTCTATTTAAAATAGTTCTTCCCAATCCAATGCTTTCAGGAGCATGTTCGAAAAATCTAAAATATCTTCTTTCTGTTCTGCCAATGTAGCTGTTTTTGTAGGTATACTTAAATTTGTAAACACAATTGGCGGTAACATGAAATGGGTACTTTTGTACCTTTGATTGGGTTATTCAATATGTTGTTTTATACAGTATTAATAATTTGATTGCTGTGTAAGTTCTTTATCCATAGGGATTTTCATAAATCTCTATCGTAAGCTGATAAACAAACAACTAAATTTAGCGTTTTTTATTAACGTAAGCGATACGATGTTGTATCTACTATGTTTTTGCGGGTATTTGATTAGTTGAAATAGATAGAAGGCTATGTAATTGGGTTTCGTGCTAACCCCCCAATCGTCATTGTAAAGATATTTAAAACAATTAGTCCCTTTGATAAATTTCGATAATGTAATTAGAAGACTAAGATTATCAGAACTATGTGATATATATAAAAATAAAAGGTCAACTAGACTGGAAACGGGGTAAGAGGAGATAAAGATAATGATAAGAGTAATAATAATAATAATGTGAACACAATTCGAAACCTAATCACTCTGGATAATAAAACCAACATGGACAGGTCAATATCTTAATTATTATAGTTATTGCCCTGTGCAATACAAACGTGGTTTGATAAGGTGTCTTCTCAACAGACTCGACCGTATTTGTACGAACGACACCATTGATGATGATGTTAATTTGTTAAATAAAACGTTAATAGAAAATGGCTATCCTCTGAAAATCATAAATAGATAGAAAGTCCATGGTTCAGCGAGACCTACTGTAGCCTCGGTAGAGAAAAAACCTGTCTACATCACCTTACCGTTCAGAGGTGATTCAAATAGCCTTTTACTGAAACAACGACTTAAATCAGTCATCAATAAAACCTATTGCGCAGCAAAGGTCATCATCAAAGAAAGAACAAGGTACATGCTTCATTCAAAACTTAAAAGACATGAAAACGATTGTGTCACATCCTACTGTGTTTACCAACTTAAATGTGTGTGTGGTCACACATACACAGGGAGGAGCAATCGTGATCTCAACATTAGGGTGAGTGAACATGTACCCAAATGGCTGCAGAAACAAATACAATCAGGTGACCCAATAAAAGCAGAGGATAAACATCCATCATCCTTTATTGCTAATCATATAATTGAAACAGGTCACAAGATTGATCTAAACTCAGCTTTTGTAGTGCTGTATAAAAGTGTAAAAGGGCATATACTAAGGTTTATTGAAGCCTTAGCCATAAAAAATTCAAACTCCCTTTGTGTATTTAAAAACAGTTTGTTCTTACCTTAAACCTACCCTGGTAATATTGACTTATTACCCAGAATGATTAGGTTTCGAATTGTGTTCACATTATTATTATTACTCTTATCATTATCCTTATCTCATCTTACTCTATTTCCAGTCTAGTTGACCCTTTATTTTTATATATCAATGCTCTTAACAAGTATATGTGTGGTCAGATTGTTCGAAAAGTATTGCGCTAATATATCATATAGTTCTGATAATCTTCGTCATCTAATTACATTATCGAAATTGTAAAGATAATCGATTCTCTGTCGATTGGGTACACACCATTTTGAAGAGTGATAGCAAACACAAAATTGATGATCAAGGCTTCCTGTCAATGGCTTACCACCATTTAACATGTACTCTAACCGTGTTGTATAACTCAAAGCTTTAAACAATTATGTACATATTGTGAAATAATTTCTTTTTCTAAATTTCTCTCATTAGAATAATGTAAATTATAGTGAAGAATTTAAAAAGTTAACAAGTCAAAATTCAAGTGTTATTGCAAAAAATACAAATTCAACTTGCCTTGTCCTATCACCATGTCTTTCAAATTCATCGGAATATTCCTCTTCCTTTTTTTCATCATCATCATCTTCTTCTTCTAGTGATCCTGTAAAGAGTAAATCAAGTGTACAAACATCCATAACAACCGATAATAATAATAATAATAATACAGACAAACACATATCTGATAATCGATGTGATTCATACTTCACTAGTGGTGCAAATTCAACTTGTCAAAATGAATTTCAATTATCATTAAATAATGATGAATTAAATGAAGCTAATTCTAAATATACTAATAATTATCAATCAACAGTTAAACGTCATACTCATAATAAATCAAGACAAATCTATGTTATGCGACATGCTGAACGTGTAGATATTAGTTTTGGTCATGGATGGATTACTCAATGTTTCAATCATAAAGGTATTCTATATTCATCTTCATATTAGTTTCATTATATTTTAATTAAGTTACTATCATGTTTACTCTAGTACTTACTTACGCCTATTACTCCCAATGGATCATAGGCCGTTGATCAGCATTCTCTAACCTACTCTGTCCTGGGCCTTCCTTTGTGTGTCAGCTCTAAACAAAATGTCACCCGCCTAGAAGAATTTCTTTGCTAAATATATGTAACCTCATTTTGATAGCATTGCCTTCAGTGATTTCTTTAGTCATCCTTCTTCATCATATCTTTAATTGTTTGAGTTCTTTTCAAAATAATCATCTTTTTTTCTTTGTAGGAGTTTATCGTAGATTTAATTTAAACCTCCCACCTTGGCTACCTACTCGGGCGGATTGTCTTGAATATATTTTAGATTCACCGATTACCCAAATTGGTTTATTTGTATCAGCTGAAACAGGTCGCGCTTTGGCAGATGCTGGAGTTTATTTCACAGCGTGTTATTGTTCTCCAGCGTTTCGATGTGTTCAAACTGCTTGTGAATTATTAAGAGCTATGGGTCGTGTAGGTGTCTTCTTGTTATAATGTTTAAGTTCATTGTATATTTACAATATGAGCCTTATCTCGTTATGCTTTGATGTATATATTTATATATTTAATTCTTATATAATAAATATTTGGTACAGTAATCCACTAAAAGGCTAGAATCATTATAATTAGGTTTTATATATTGCGCGTATAATCACGTAGAGCAAGAGAATGTTTGTCCTTTTAAACTTTACATTGTTATTAAATAGACTTGTCTAAACTTCTTAGTTACATTTGTCGATTAAATAATATCACTTTTTGTAAAGAATAGTAGTGCTTGAAGTCACTAACTTTTGGTCTGAGCGATGTTGGGAGATGCAGATTTCGTGGTTGGGATCCGTGTGACTATCGTAACCAATGGTTGGAGACTCTTGGTGACATGGCTCAGAATCGATCACGATGGCGTCGATGTATACACTCTCTGTCTTCCCCTAAACTAAGAGATCAAAATTACTTTATACCCTTCTTTCTACCAACTAATTCTTTCTTCCTGTACTATATCCCTATATTCAATCTTTCTTTTAGATATCACCACCTCTGAATTAACTACTTTTATGAATCCAGTGTTCATCTTGTTGTGTTAATGAGGTATGACAACTTGGAGCGATGCATATATGTGCCTGGTCTTACTTTTTAGCTAACTGACTTATCCATCAATAGATCCTGTTTTACCTATCATTTCATAAGTGAATAGTAACTCGTATCATACAAAGTCAAGTTATGTTTGATTGTGTCTTATTCCCCAAAATTGTAAAATATAGTGCTTTGTGTTAAATTCGCGTAAACTATTAAATTGTTGAATTTTTCGTCTCGATGTCATTGAATATCTTAGTGCTACTTGTTATATATTACTGATTTATACTCTTTCTGCTATCACATTATGTTCGATTATAGCTTTTAATCATAATGCATAATAACTTGATTCTTAATATTCATGAATTATTACTTGTTCTACGTACACACTATTATGAAAGCTTTTTATCCCTGCTAACAGTGAGTCTCATGCCGTTGATATTAATACCCACTGTTTACAGATACGATGTATGCTTTGATTAATCCACACGAATTCATCTCCCCTTAGTCTCCCGATTAAAACAAAATGAAGGTCACCCAATACACCTTTTATTGCATAAATCAAAAACACATTTTATCTATCAATCGCAAGACAACAGAAATCACAGTATGTTCAAAACTAGGTCTTCTAAAATACAAAGCTGAATAACAGGTACACACTAAACGTGTTGTAAGATGGTGGTTGGACGTAGCCAACAGGAATCCCTGAACCTAAGTTTCGTGCTACTTGACACTTTAGCAAGATGTGTCTATAATCTTGAGGGAACTGATGCTCTCTGATGGATTCGATCCCGTTTCACCCAGCTTCACAATCAGAGACGTTACCACTGAGCTATCTGGGTCACGGCCGACTTTTCGTAGGACTGAGGTGTGACACAGTATTGAATCCGATACTGTTATTTTGCATAATGCAATCGATTTCTCCTGCCCAAGTCTTCGTTCACCATATATAAAATACTCCACGTTTGAATTTGAATAAATTATCTGTTGTCTATTGTGAATATCTTATATTGTAATTTTCAATTATGCTGATTTATTAATTTACTAAAACATACAAGGGGCATCAAATATTTATGCGCCACACAAACCATTCGATTTGTGTGAGGTCTGGGTTACTGCCTAGGCCCCCAAACCGAAGAAGGTGGCTTTCTTAGGAAGCCACTCTTAGAGCCTTTGACTCAGAGGTCTAATCTACAAGACAACAGAGGAACCTTAAATCTAGTCCCATGGTAAACACTGATCAATAATGGGTTCATGCGCCATCATGTTCCGTCAGGATCTTAGAGCCCATGTGCACCACTGATTTAGAATCAGGGTTTTAGAACTCCCCAAGGTGGATCCTTTATACCCATCTTCCCGGTATAAGCACCAGACATTCTCTGTTCATCCTCTCGACTTCGTAAACAACACACGACAAGAAGACAGTGATCAAGAGTTCCCTGGTACGTGTTAATACTTATTCTTTTTATTTTTGCGATTATACATATAAAACTGAGAGGAGTATTGTGATTTAGCCGCATTTCTCACACTCTCATTCTCATTTTGTTTAAATTTGTTAATAAATGGACTACTGAAAATTCATCTGTCTGTCCTTTTATTCTATGAAATCGTGACTTATTGATTCAAACATTTGTCTTTGAATCATGACATTATAAATGTGTTCTTTGCTGTGTATATGGGGTCGGTTAGTATGTATAGCTCAAAAAGACAAAGAAATAAAAAAGTTTATTATTGTGATTGTGAAATAATATACACTATTTTATATGGCGGATAAATTAAAATATCTTCCTCTCTCTGTGGTATACCGCTGTACTATGGTAATAAGACCGAACTAAGTTTATAATGCCGCTAGATTGGATACTCGAACGTTAAACTATAAATAGACTAGATCATGTTAAGCCTGATATACTATTTACGACCGTGAAGAGAGAACCGGAGTAACGCAAGGTAATAATTTACTCTATTTATTTATTTTTATTTATTTAAACACATAAACATTGGTACAAGGAGGCACTAGATAAATATGCGCCACATAAATCATTCGATTTGTGTGAGGGCTGAGATACTGCCCGGGTGCCCAGAGCGAAGCAGGTGGTTTTCTTAGGGGGTCACACCCCGAACCTTTGACCTAAAGGTTTGACCCACAAGGCAATGAAGCATCGTGAGGAGATGCAGTCTGATGGTAGCCGGTAACCAACTATTGGTTCATACGCCATTTGTTCCCGCAGTATACTGGAGTCCATGTGCACCATTGGTTTGTAATCCGGTTAAAGCGTCGGACATTTGCTTTTCGTCCTCTGCCCGACCGTTGTTGCTACCTTGACGTGGTGGTCGGGCTTGCCTATCGTGATGAAGCAACCGAGCTATACTGGCTGGAACAACCGTTCCTCAAGGTCCTACCATGTCAGACAGGTCGGTTGAAGAGCGGTAAGACTAAAAGCAACAAACCCAAGGTCCGAAGGCGAAGTCGTACTGCTGACTGTACAGAGGTGTGACAGCAGTAAGGTGTTTCCTTCAGACAACCAGCATGACAGCGATGCTGCCTTCCCACAAGGAGGGGTGGGGTTAGAAAAGGTCGACCCTAAAAATGCACACCTCGCCTTATCCCACGGATATCCGTCTCCGGCGGTAAGGTCTCAATAAGTACGGAGCTAACACAAAAATTACCCATAACAAGGTCGTGTGTGACCGACCTCAAGCAGTTGTCCCTTGGGCACTGCGGTCACGCTCTCAGGTCACTAAGACCACCTCTAATCCAATTTCCTTTTCAGGTACCTCCAGAACAACCCTTCCACGGTGTGGGCAACCGGGAAGTGATAACCGCCCTCATACTTCTAACAGCACTCAAGACCACTGTATTCATAATCAACCTCCTCTTCAATTCCTATTATTCCTCCTACATCGACTTTCAACTCTAAATTTCCCCTCTCGGCTTCCACCTCAAGTGTCACCATAGCCAACGATTCTAGTGCGCAAAACACTGTCCCAGGTCTACTGAAACCTCGCTCCAAACTACACATTGGAGCCTTCAACGTACGCACCCTATGTCAAATCGGTCAGCAGGCTTCCTTGGCTAAAACCCTAGAGTCTCTTTCCATTGATGTGTGCTGTGTCTCCGAAACACGCATACAGGATTCCAGTGTGGTCATTCACTTGACCTCACCTCGGCAAACGGAGAGCCAACGAGATACACCCTTCGTGTATCTGGTGACCCGATGGCAAGTTCTCGTGGACTGGCAGGTGTAGGCATAGCACTAAGCATGAGGGCCGAACAAGCACTGCTAGAGTGGATCCCCGTCAACAGTCGTCTATGTGCTGTTCGGCTGAACGGCTACGTAAGAACTCGGAAGGATAGGGACACACGTCGTTGCCTTTTTGTCGTTTCTGCCTACGCTCCCACTGACTGCAGCTCAGATGAAGTGAAAGATGAATTTTACAGAAAGCTGTCCGAACTTCTTCAGAAAGCTAAACGCTCAGACATAGTACTCGTAGCAGGTGATTTTAATGCTCAGATAGGCAGTTTAAACCAAACAGAAAGGCATTTAGGTGGATATTTTAGTATTCCGACACAGCGAACAGATAATGGTGATCGTCTGCTGCAGCTATGCTCAGACAATCGTTTATTTTTAGCAAACACAAATTTTAAGCATAAGGAGAGACATCGTCTAACATGGCGACCCCCTACACCAAACCAACGATGGACTCAAATAGACCATATTGCCATCAGTCATCGTTGGAGAGGGTCGGTAGAAGATTGTCGCTCATTCTGGAGTACCTGCTTGGACTCCGACCATGCCCTAATACGGGCACGCATCTGCTTGCGCCTCACTGGACGCAAAAAAGCCACATTAAAAAGACCCGTTAGAACTGAGTTGAGTAACGAGAAAACCAAAAGTAGGTTCCAGGAACAACTGAGGTCACACTTAGGTAGTTGTGAAGACGAGGCTGACCCAGATGTTGCTTGGAAGGGCATACAATCAGCTGTGGAAACAGCAGTGACATCTATTAGTGACTTAAACCACAGAGTTACAAGGAACCAGTGGATTTCTTCAAGGTCTGTCACACTGATGGATTCTCGCAAACTCGTCCCATCAGGTTCTGAACATGATGAAGAGCGTAAACAAATCAGATCTAGGTTAAGAAAAAGTCTAAGGAACGACCGTGAGCAGTGGTGGGTAACGAAAGCAAAAGAGATGGAAAAGGCGGCGACTATAGGGAACACAAGACAGCTTTACAGACTAATAAAAGAAACTGGAATTAATAAGTCAAGTGTAAGTGAGATTATTTCGGAAAAAGATGATACTCTCATCTGCTCCCAGTCCAGACGTTTAGAACGATGGGCGGAACATTTTAGAGAACAGTTCAGCTGGCCTTCAGCTACTCTACAACTACCCTCCATTCCCAGACAATGTGAATGGAACATTGAAGTAGGTCCCCCAACTCTTGCTGAAGTTGAGAAGGCTATAGTTAATCTGAAACGAGGAAGGGCAGCTGGTCCAGATGGATTGGCTCCAGAGGTCTTTAAGGATGGTGGTCCAATTTTAGCGATTAGGTTGACTAATATTTTAGCTAAGATCTGGGAATTAGACGTTATCCCATCTGACTGGTCGCAATCACTTATCGTCCCAATATATAAGAAAGGGTCAAAATCATCCTGTGACAACCACAGAGGGATTAGTTTAACAAACATAGTATCTAAAATACTGGCCTCGATAATTATCACGCGCCTAACTAAGACTCGTGAACTACAAACACGAGAGAACCAAGCTGGCTTTAGACCTGGTCGTGGCTGCATCGACCACATATTCACCATTCGTCAGGTTCTAGAACACAGGCATACTTATCGGCGTCCGACGATGGTGGTCTTTCTTGACTTAAAAGCAGCATTTGACTCTGTAGACCGCGAGATTCTGTGGCAGTGTCTGTCATTGAAAGGCGTACCTCAGAAGTACATAAACCTTGTGAAGGCTCTTTACTCGAACACTACTAGTCGAGTCAGGGCTTATGGCGAACTGTCATCTACTTTTGCAACCTCAAGTGGTGTCCGTCAAGGCTGCCCACTTTCTCCATTTTTGTTTAACTTCATCATAGACCTATTGATGGAAATAACACTCTCGGGTATTGATCTCCTTCCAGGAGGTCCACTTATCGACTTAGAATACGCAGATGACATAGTCCTGTTTGGTGAAGACGCTGACAAAATGCAGAGTCTTCTGGTAGCACTAAGCAACAATGCCAGAATGTTTGGGATGCGCTTCTCTCCCTCTAAATGCAAGTTGTTGCTTCAGGACTGGTCTGCGTCAACACCTGAACTAAGGATAGGGAGTGAAGTAGTCGAACGCGTTGACAACTTCACTTATCTTGGAAGTCTGATCAGCCCTAATGGGTTGGTGTCTGACGAAATCTCAGCACGGATTCGAAAAGCTCGTTTGGCTTTTGCCAACTTACGTCACCTTTGGCGGAGGCGAGATATCCGTCTATCAATAAAAGGACGAGTATACTGCGCGGCAGTCCGTTCTGTTTTAATTTACGGCAGCGAAACATGGCCCTTAAGAGTAGAAGACACCCGTAAGCTACTAGTATTTGACCACAGATGCCTTAGAAATATTGCTGGCATCTGCTGGGATCACCGGGTAAGTAATAGTGAGGTTAGACGCAGGGTATTAGGGAATGATGGTAAATCAGTTGATGAGGTTATGAATCTTCATCGACTGAGATGGTTGGGCCACGTATTACGTATGCCTGAACACCGATTACCACGACGTGCAATGCTAACCGGTGTAGGGGATGGTTGGAAGAAAGTTAGGGGCGGCCAAACCAAAACGTGGCATCAGTGCCTGAAGTCACTAACTTCTAGTCTGAGCCATGTTGGTAGATGCAGACTACTTGGTTGGGGTCCGCGTGACTTTCGTAACCAATGGTTGGAGACTCTTGGTGACATGGCTCAGAATCGATCACAATGGCGTCGGTGTATACACTCCCTGTCTTCCCTTAAACTAAGAGATTAAAATCACTTCATATCTTTCTTTCTACGAACTAATTCTTTCTTCCTATACTATATCCTTATTGCAATCCTCCTATATATTACCACCTTTGACCTAACCACTTCTATGAATCCGGTGTTCATCTTGCTGTGCTAATGAGGTATGGCAACCTGGACCGATGCACATATGTGCCTGGTCCTACGTTGTAGCTGACTGACTGACTTTCGTCCTCTGAATTTCGTAAACAACAGCGATGCCACGAGAAGGCAGTGAGTAGGACTTCCCTGACAGAGACTGTATACACGTGGCCGTTTGAGAGCATTTCGGGAGGGAGGGAGGGCGGGCTCACCCCACTCTCGGCCGTACCAGGGCATTTGGGGGCAATAATAATTTACTCTAAACAATTGCAAATAGTCACTTTCAGTGAGTCCTAAGTAGAAATCAATAAGAGGTAAGAAAACCACATATTTTAGTGGTCAGTAAATTGAGTGTTTGTTTATACACACATTGACTGATCACATTTACTCCTACTACAACACATCACTATTACAGTGTGAGTTTATATTACTTTAATTCGATGTAAAACTCAAAATAACAAACAGTACAATCAAAACTTAAAACTTTTTATTTCCCATTGAAATATAAGTCAGTTTGTGAATATCTTGTGTGATATACTCATAGATCTTTATTACTGTTTGTAATCATCTTTAAGATTGAAGAATTCATATTTATAAACATTTTTGTTTATGTATTTGATCTTCTTTCATTGACTTATAATTTTGTTGTCACTTTATAGTCGGATTTATCAATTCGTATAGAACCACATTTATTCGAATGGTATGGTTGGTATGTTGGTGGTTGTATACCAAAAATGATGACTGTACATCAATTGAAACAAGCTGGTTATAATGTAGATACAAATTATACACCACTTAGCTCATACAATGATAATGATAAATATGAATCTATTCAAGGTTATTGTGATCGTACTGCTGTGTTAATTAAGCGTATTTTAAATGTTCATAAGTCGAAAGGTATGTTTTTTGTTTTTAATAATTTTTATGTATATATATATATATGAACTAGGTTGAATTACCTTCCATATATCACATACCTAATGTATGTTTGGTATTTGGTATCTGTTCGTTTCCAAGGTATATGTACTAAAAGGATTAAATATTGTTAGATTTATATTATTATAATATTTCAACTCTAGTGGTAAGAACATGTGAATTCAATCAGTCGATTATGGTAAACTTGAATGAATACTTGATAGTATGGCTTAAAGAAAAGTTAGACGTTAACACCGTTAGATACCGGCTCAGTGGTCTAATGGTTAAGTGCTCGCGCGCGAAACCAGTAGGTCCTAGGTTCGAATCCATCGGGGTCGTGGATGCGCACTGTTGAGGAGTCCCGTAGCAGGACGAAACGGCCGTCCAGTGCTTCCAGGTTTTCCATGGTGGTCTGGCTTCAATTGACTCATGATTTCAACTTGTGAATTAATATTAGTTATATTGAACATAACTTTATTTTCATAGTAATCTAGTAACGGGGCTAGGTTGTATTCAAAGCATTTCGATTTCGCAATAAACATCCATCATTGTATCAGATGCGTTTTTGTGGAGATTGTAGTAATTTCAATGGTTAAGATCATGAGTCAGTTGAAGCTAGACCACCATGGAAAACCTGGAAGCACTGGACGGCCGTTTCGTCCTATTGTGGGACTCCTCAACAGTGCGCATCCACAACCTCGCCCCCCGCGAGATTCATTTTCTTTATATCCTGTTAATTTATTCATAACATTTGACGGTAATTCTTTCGCGTATTTATTTCAGAGTAAGTAGTGACATTCGAATTATTACTGATACTATATACAATTATTGTAAAACTAGATTGAAAATGTTTGTCATTCGAACCAGTTACATGTCTTCATTTTTTCGATAGTATTTGGTCTACTATGAAATAATCCAGAAAAATAAAAACTACTGGAGATCAAAATAGCGTTGGTCAGTTAGTTCGTCCTGTCTCAGGACTCTCCATCAATGAACGTATATAACCGCTAATGAGATTTAACTAGTTTTGGAGACGGTTTGGAAGGAAGTTAAAGGGTGATCAAGCCAAAACGTAGCGTCAGTCATCGAAGTCACTAACTTCTGATCTGAGCCATGTTAGTAAATGCAGATTACTTGGCTGCAGTCCGCATGACTATCGTAACCAATGGTTGTAGACTCTGTGTGAAACAGCTCAAGATCGATGACAATGGCGTAGGTGTATACGCTCTTTGTATTTCCTTAAACCGTGAGATTATAATTACTGTGTACCTTTATTTCTACCAACTAGTTCTTTGTTCCTGTATCATATCTTTGTACACAATCTTGTTTTATATATTACTACCATTGAAGTGACTACTTCTATAGATTTGGTGTTCATGTTGTCGTGCTAATGAGGTGTGTCAACTTTGGTCGATGCATATATTTGCCTGATCCTACGGTGTAACTGACTGACATTAACTCAGGACCTATATATTTCTCAAGGAACATGATTTGTCCACTAAGTTATAGTTCCATATTTTGAGCTTTCCATGTAGCAATAATTTTACATTCTCATTAACTTCATTAGAAAAATAACACAAATTACTGTGTTCGTTCTCAGAATAGTGAAAATTTATTATGACAATTTGATTAAGCTATGAGTTTACACTTCTTTTTTCTTTCAGAAATATATTGAATAAGAAAATACTTACGTACGCCTATTACTCCCAATGGAGCATAGGCCGCTGACCAGCATTCTCTAACCCACTCTGTCCTGGGCCTTCTTTTCTAGTTCTATCCAATTGTTGTTCATGCTTCTCATATCTGTCTCCATTTTTCGGTGTAATGTGTTATTTGGTCTTTCTCTCCTCCATGTGAAGGCTTGCCTTGTGACGCAGTTGGGTGCTTTCCTTAATGTGTGTCCTATCCATTTCCAGCGCATCTTCCTAATTTCTTCCTCCGCTGAGATCTGGTTTGTTCTCCTATAGTAGGTTGTTACCGATACTGTAATGTGTTGCAAACGGATGCGAAGTATTTTGCGTAGACAACTATCAATAAACACCTGTATCTTGTGGATGATGGCTTTCATAGTTCTCTAAGTTTCCGCCCCATACAGTAGAACTGCCTTGTCATTATAATTAATTCTTGGACTAAACTTTAAACATGGTTTATTAATCAACCCTCTTTTTTAAGCGTTCGTTTCAGTAGTTTTTACATCAAGTTATTAAATATTCGATGAGACTATAATTTATGGACGACCTTTAGGTGACGCTGAGGGTTGTCAAGCAGTTAGAATTCTCATTTACAGTTGATGGTTAAGGTTAAAAATTAGATTTAGGGTTTTCATCACGAACTGACATCAGCTATAATGCTAAAACTCTATTTAGTCAAATGTATGTATGAATTCCGCGCCTAACTTCTTGACTTTTTATTGTATATCTGATTGATTCGTCCATAAATGCTAGTCTCGCCAAATATTCAATTGTAAAGTAATAACACGACTGAGTACAAAAGCTTATTCATCATGAATATTCATGTCTCATCCCCATACAACTCATAATATTCTATTCTACTTTTAATTTTGATTCTTTTTTTTTTCTTTTTAGATACTTGTTTATTAATTGTAGCCCATGCATCATCATTAGATACTTGTACACGTCATTTAGTATGTCATAAATTTAGAAATAATTTATCATCAGATGAATTTCATCATCGTACATCAATTGTACCATATTGTGGTTTATTATTAGCACAAGAAAATCGTCGATGGAATTTAATTAATCCACCAATACCAAATTCATGTTCATATACAAGAAATATTGATTTTGATTGGAAACAATTACTTGGACCATCATTATGCAATTTTAAATTAAGATAAATAATAATAATAATGAATTTTTTTCTGGTTAGCGTTTTTTTAGCGAGTTAGTTTTCTACGGGATGCGGCCGCTAACCCCTATGCCCAACTCTCCTCTTTTATCTGAGCATGGGACTGGTAGTAGCCCCCGGAGGGACTCCAGGCGGAGTAAATAATAATACTAAAATGAATTATAGAAAATAGAATTTAATTCTTTTATTCATTTATAAATCTGCATTTAATTCAATTTCTTGTTAACTGCCATTTTATTTCATGGTTTTACATATCGTTTTTTTTTTTGTTTTCAATTTGGATACAGCTTCATATTTGTGTTGTTATTTTCTTTCTTTATTTTATTGTTGTTTTTTGTTTTTGTCGTTGCATTTATTCATTCTTTTGGTGTATCTTTTATTTTTATTTTTTTCCAATATTTTCGATTATATAGATCTTAATGAATACCTTTGAAATGAGAATTATACATGAGTAACATTTTGTGTATACAATTCACATATTATTTGTTTATTGGATCTGTATAAATCTGATTGTTTACTTTCAGAATATTATTCAATGACTTGACTTATAGTTTACAATATATAGTACATTTGATTAGATGAAATGTGTTTACAGTTATAACTATATAATTTATAATGTTTCTTTTGGTACTTGACAAATCTATTTAAAAAGAAAAAAAGATATCTATTTAATAATTTATATTTAAAATAACCGCTAATTTCATTTGTTCAAAAATCAATTTTTTCCGGGTATTTGAAAAATGAAACAAATTATTTAGTAGAAATAGGGATTAATATATTAAACGAAGAATATTCAAATGCTCTGGTACAGCCGAGAAAGAGAAGAGTCCGTTCTCCCTCTCGAAATGCTCTCGCATGACCACGCGTATATAGCCTCTGCCAGGGAAGTCCTACTCACTGCCTTCTCGTGGTGGTGGTGGTGTTGTTTACGAAAATGAGAGGACGTAAAGCGAATGTCCGGAGCTTCAACCGGATTCCAAACCAAATTAACGGTGCACGTTGGCTGCAGAATCCTGAGGGAACAAATGGCGTATGAACCAATCGTTGGTCACCGGCTCCCATGGGACTGCACCTCCTTACGTTGCTCCACTGCCTTGTGGATCAGACCTTCAGGTCGAAGGCCCCAGGTGTGGCCTCCTAAGAAAACCACCTGGTTCGGTTTGGGCACCCGGGCAGTATCACAGCTCTCACACATATCGAATGAGATTTGTGTAATGCATATGTATTTGGTGCCTCGTTGTACCAATATCTATGTGTTAAAAATAAATTATTTTCAGGTTCCTATAATTCATATATCCAAATGAATAATCCGGAAAAAAAGGTAGTCAGGTTAAGGAGTGAAAGTACGTCCTTTAAATTATGTGAATTTATGATTGTGATAAGCAAAATACAATAAAATTGTTAATGTTGATATTGACTCAGATAAAATGTTAACTTGAATCTGCATATATTTATGAAGTGAAAATTTGAAGATCCATGATCACAATAAATATTGAATCAAATAGGTCTGAGAGAAATGATAATGAAATTACAATTCGATCAAATGCTTAATAGAAGGCTATACTTTATACTTTGCCTTTAACCGGATTATTCATTTGAATATATATATGAGTTGTAGAGAACCTGAAGAGAATTTATCGAAAACAATATTCTTTATTCAAATATGAATCTTTTAATATGATGGAGATCTTTTAAGTAATAATATTAGTCTATTAAAAGAAGAGTATAACTTTTCTTTTCATTCAAATGTATATGCAAATTCCTACCGTTGTTATATTTCTATTCTCTTTATTTTCAATCTATTCCAGATTCATTTTTGCTCTTGTTCCTCTTTATTTATGATCAACGTATGTATAATCACATAAAATATTTCTTTTCTTATTGATGAAGATGTAACCTGTTGTATATTCCATAAGTGAATGATTTTGTATTCCGTTAATGAATAAGTCAATAAATCAACTGTTTATCTCGGTTCCTTTTAATTTTTTTTTGCTTTTAGTTGTCCTATGTGTGATCATTATCATTAGATTTTTGAAGTTCTGTTTTCTTTGTGTGTGTGTGTGTATATATATTCGCCTGCTTACAGTTTTACTGTGTTGTTTATCATATCTGTTTTTATTACGGATCTGTTCCTGGATTGTATACCTATATCGTAGTTTCTTGATTTTGTTGTATGAATGATACAGAAATTGTAAAGTGTATTATCAAAATTTTCCTACTGATTATTTTATACTTTATTCTTGCTAGAAATCGCTGGAGATCTATTCTCTGTACCTATGATTGTAAAGTATTCATCTTGGTTAGCGGAAGGCTGATGTTATTAAATAAACAATCTGGATGAACGAATCAATACAACTCCTTTCCTGTATTACTCTCTATCACATATAGTTTTAACTTCAAATAACTCTACTTGTTACACTAGGTAATATGGTAATACTATAGCGAGCTTACCTAATACCAAACTACTTTAGTATCGAAGTTTGCTTGTTAAACGTTAGTGGCAATAAAGTATTTGAATAAATATTAATACAATATAGACAAGCTTCGAATTCAAACCAGAACACTAAATCTGATTCAGAACAGTTTTATTTATACGTGTCGACTTCATCTGGATTGTTTCTGAAGTTGATCTAACTGGAGACTTATGATCGCTAGAAACAAGCTAGAGTTCAGTTGTACATTAGTATCATTGTTATGATACTTTGAACCAGATAGCACAAGATAGAAGTCGCTATAAATGCTAACGGTAGTTTTTTCTCAGTATACTATCACCTGTAAACGAACCAAATGGCCAAATAATATTGTTTGGAGCTAATCGAGTAACTGTTGACCCTGGACATAAAAAATCGCGACTGACTAACGTGCAAATTGGGACCTGTAGAACTCCGATATGTAACTGATACAGAACAAATATTATAATTGAGATGTATTGTAGCTTGACAACAATACCAAATAATCAACTATTTTGAATCGTCGTGAAATGTGTAGATGGATGGTACGTCGACTGCAGTAAGTATTCATAAGTGGTCATACAACTGTGGAAAGAATGTGAGTAAAGTTTTATACGTGTAGCACACAATTCAGGGCAAACCATCCTTGAACATTATATAAATGGTTACAAGAATGTATGAGTATAGAGTAAGTAATTTATATTTCACAAACAGAATATAATTAAACAAAATAAAATTCTGAATAGGAGAGGAAATATAAATAACTAGGCAAGTATCAGTAAAACAATAACTGGTCTTTATTTCCTAACAAAGCCATCCTAAAAACTTAATGAGGCGACGAGTATGAGCGCGCAGGTATATACGTATCGAAGTATTGTTATATTCTTTGTGTTTATACTCGATGACCAAGAACAAATGAATTGAATGAAAACCATGGTACGAATGTCCCTAAATATATATTTAAGTGATTGAAAGTTCTAGCATACAGAATAGTAATAAATAACCAGACGATTATAGAACTGAATGAACCAAACTGAACTGAAATAGCAATAGAACCGGAATAATCTAACGATCAGATTTTTTGGATTTCTATCGATAGTGGCACCAAAACTTACCAGCAAGTGTATTAGAATAGGAATGAAACTGAGAATAGAAAGTCTAGCAACTGCCTTATAGTAAATAAAAATCCAGTACCGCATTAGGCCGGCCTAGTGTCAATTGCATTGTCATGAATTTAAACTGTCCAGAATGTTATCTAGTCATCGTGTCTCAAATATTTATTAAGAAGTATAATGAAATGAAGGGATAGAAAGGCACATCTATACAAGGTGATATAGGTGGCATGTAAATGAAAGCTATTCGAATTGTTTACATAATAGAGCATAATATAACCGTTACATGTAAACCGTCATTTACTCTGTCAGATATCGTTTTTCAAAATAAATCGCAATTATGCAGATTTGACATTTCAGTATTAAACACCAGATTGGACAAATCATAAACCATGCTGAATATCTGAAACTTCGCCAACAGCCCTCCGAAGGCTACTGTCTATCCCAACCCCGGGTAATCGAAGATGGTTGTGCAGGAAGTAAGCAACCCTATCCCGTTGAAAAAACATTGCTGATAAAGCTTTAACGGGGAAAACATTTTAAACCATTTAAAATATGTCCTGTGAGTTGAAAGATCTTCATTCATGACACTTCACCATGTAAGATGAGACTCCTCAGAAATCACAAGGTTGACCATTCTTCTGACAACAATATATCAGTTTCAGTTTTGAAAAGGCAGGAGGCTTGATGACCTGTGTTAGTCCTGGCAATGGTGGTCTCTCAGTTGATCCAACTGTCTTTTGGAAGAGTTGACGGATGGAGCCTCAACCACGTGCTAGGGTAATGAATTCCACTCGTTGATGATTCTATGGGAAAATCGATAGTCAGCTGACAAGTAATTTGTTCTCGGCTTCTGAACTGTTTTGCAGTGTCCTCGTAAATTCTCTGTTTTGAAGGACAAGTAAAATGAGGGCATATCAGGTGCGAATTTGGCACTAAGCAATTTGAAGACTGTGATCAAGTCGCCTCTAGTTCTGCGATATGACAACGGGAAAAGGTTTAGCTTGGCTGGTCGAGCATCATACGGAAGCTTCGCTATTCCAGAATCAGCTTAGTTGCTGTTCTCTGAACCTTTCTAGAAGCTCACTGTCTTCTTCTAAGCAGGAGCTAGCTGCTCGTGTGCAGCACTCCAGTTTAGGACGTATGAGCACTGTATACAAAAACGTTTTCGTGTCGACATGACCACCACCAACCAGATGACTTAAAGCCCTACGTATTGACCATAAGGTTCTAAAATTTTCGGCGCTATTGCACGGCAGTGTGCAGTAGTCTTTAAGTCTTGGCTAACGATGACTCCTAAGTCATCATGTGTCTGGACGGCAGGTAGCTCAGTGTTATCCATCGTCTATGTATCTGTACCTTGATGACCGATATGCATCACAACACAATTGGAAGTATTTATCGGCAACTGCCAGGTTTGAGACCATTCAGATAACTTCTTCAGGTCATTTTGAAGTTCTAAGCTATCACTCTACATCGTATCGTTCTCCATATCTTGACATCGTCAGCATACAGCAAGACCGATGATGATCGGAGACGAGGAAGGTCATTTACTTACAAGAGGAATAGCACTGGCCCCAAAACTGTACCTGGGACAAGAGTAACCTATTCTGAAACCGTGCTGCTTCTCCGAAAGGATCCGGTTTTTATCAAGATACTTAAACAGCTCCTTCCGAATAACCTTTTCTAAGATTTTAACAACCACACTAGTTAGGCTAACGGGGCGGTAATTCTCAGGTTTGTGTTTCGTACCTGTTTTGAAGTCAGGGCTTACTATGGCGTTCTTCCAATCTTTTGCTAGACGAACCTGCGTTATGGACACATTAAAGCATATACTTAAAGGGCTTGGAAGGAAGTTAGATAATTCCTTCAGTAGCCTGGGTTGTAATTCATCGGGCCCCGTGGATTTACCTATGTCAAGCTTATTTAGCAGACCAAAGACATCGAGTTCGTTAATGGTCACGCTATCCAGTGTATGTATGGGGGGATCTATATGCGCTGACGGGAAGGGCGCTTCTATGGTATATACATTGCTAAAGTAGTTCGAGAACACTTGAGCCTTACCAAAGTCGTCCTCCACTAATAATGCGGCAGTATTGTCTCCCCATAGAGCAGGAATATTTCCTCTTCTCTTTGCCCTTTGGTTTATATAGGAATACAAGCGTTTAGGACATTCAATGGATTCCTTATTAAGTTTTTCTTCGTACAACTTTCTAGACTTACGGAGGGTCGAGGCACATGTATTCCGAGCTTTTCGATACAGAGATTTTATCTCATCGGTTCCCAGTAACCTAAAACTATCCCACATTTTCCTTCTTTTACGGAGAAGGATGCGGACCTCCCTACTGATTCATGGTGGGGAGTTTTTCGGCCCCTTGATATAGTCCAAGGGATGTGGGGTGTGGTAACTTTTAAGTATGAATTTGAAATGCGTCCCAAGCCGTTTCAATTGAAGACTCTGGGTCTATTTTCCAATCTACTAACGATGCTGAGTGCATGATATCTGGTATGTTTGCTTTCCAGACGTTGGGTCTGGACTGGACTGATGCGTCCTCATGACTGGCAGTTATATGGAAGTCGAAACTTAAAACTGCGTGGTCACTTTTACTTAGGGGTGGCATATGATGGAGGTTCGCAACATCATCCTCATAGTGAGTGAGTATAAGATCTAATAAGGATGATTCAGTGTCCGGGTCGTACCTAGTCGCTTCTTTCACATGTTGCACTAGGGCACACGTGATAACCGCATCAACTAGTTCCTGCTCGAAAGAATTTTCTGACGATTCAGTTCGCAGATTTTCCCAGTCTACCATAGGTGCATTAAAGTCCCCTAGGATTAGACATCGACCACTTTGTGACCAAGTATTGAGACTGCTTAGCAGGACGTCATTTACTACACAGCTTGGACTGCGATAGACCAAACCAACCAGCAGCTCTTGTCCGTTGCATTTCAAGCGGCAACTAACTAATTCACACGTTCCACTCTCATGGGATACACTGTCGATAATGGCAAATGGAATAGCATTCCTAACGAATTGAGCTACTCCCTCTCCTTCACGCTTTTGTATTCTGTCAGCCCCTACTAACGTAAAACCCTCGAAATCAAGTTCCATACTATCTACAGCCTGTGTCAGCCAGGTTTATGGAACTGCGATTATGTCTGGCTTTGTAGAGTCAATCTGAACACCTAGTTTCGATCGCTTATTGAGTAAGGTTCGGGCATTAGTGCAACAGATCCAAAGCCTATTTAAGTGGCTTCATGCTTCACCCATAGTGGCTTCGGCATCATTCTCTGTCGAAGCCTTACAACCCGAAAATTTACAATTTTTAGATTCCTTTCGCCAGCGTCTAACCCAAGTTGTAGTTCTTTTCGGCTTCCCGTCTTTTTACGCGGTCTGTCAACGGCAAGTCTTTACGGATAAAAAATTCTGAACCCTTTAATTTATGTCTATTCTGTAAAATTAAATCGCGTTCATTCGAAGATTTGAATAATACTTTGAGTAGTCTGGATTGATTAGGCTTGTACATGGAATGTCTGAACGATGTGGGAGACCGGCAGGATCAGTCAACTAGCTGCGAAAATGAGAAGATACAACTTAGTGGCTCTCGGAACATGTGAAACTCATCGGACTTAAACTGTACAGAAAATATTAAATTCAGGAGTGATGGTACCTCTGGTCACGAAAAAGAAAACGATTTATGCACAAGGAATAACAACGATGTTATAGAAATAAGCGCGAAAAAGAACCACAGATTAGGAATCTCACAGATCTAGAATCATCGGAGCATTCTTCAAAGCAAAGAAGAATGGGACCACAATGAATGGTATCTGATATACGCACTCACTAATAATAGCAATGGAAACATTGAATATCAGTCCAATAGAAGACTGCAACCAATCGTAAAGGAGTGGCCAAGGTTGGACTCGACTGTCCTAATGAGGGAACCAAATCCCAAGGTCAGGGTGGACAGCTCCAGTTATGAGGATATCATGTAACAGCATTTACTATGATAACAGAACAACGATAGCGGGGGATTTTCGAATTTATACGCTTTCAACAAAGTGATTATAACTGGTATTATATTCCTGCACCAACGCACACACAAAGCTAAATGGGTTCGAGAGGACCACCTTACTGAGAATATGATCGATAATATTTGTATCAATAAAACGTTCAGATGATCCATGAAGGGCGAGAGAATCAGGAGAGGAGCTGACACAGCTTCATATCACCACCTAGTTGTGGCCAAGATGAAACTGAAGCTGAAGGAACGCTGAACAGCTGAACAAATGGCAGTACAAATGTTCACTACAGCCCTCCTTTGACATACTCACAAAGCTAACAGATTCAAGACAACTTTCAACAGCAGGTTCAAAGCCTCGCAGGATCTCACACAAGAACGAACTACTAAAGAGGACAACTGGAAAAGGATCAAAGAAGCACCAACTTCAAGGTATCAGGAGGTTCTAAGTCAAAAGAAGCATCATGATAAGGAATGGATATCTGTCGAAATCCTGGGTAAGATTTAAGAAAGGAAGAACAAGTAGACAGCAACTAGCGAAAGCCGAACACGAGTAGAGGAAGGCACACACTGAATACACGGAAGCAAACAAGCAAGTGTAAAAGAGAATTATAGTCGACAAGCAGATATATGTCAGATATCTAGCAATGACAGTGGAAAAGTTCATAAGGGAAGGAAATATGAAACAGCTATATGACACGATGAAGAAACTAACAGGGAAATATATTGTAAACCAGAGAGACCGGTCAAGGACAAATAAGGCAAACCAGTCACTGAGATTGAAGAACAGAGGAACAGACCGGTAGAACACTTTGTGGAACTCCTGAGTAAACCAGTTCCACTGAGTTCGCCGGAAATCGAAGTAGAATCTACGAACCGTACTATAAATGTCACTCCACCAACGATTAGAGAAATCCGGACAGCCATCAGACAAATCAAGAAATCAGTCGAACTAAACAATATAGCAGCTAATGCACTGAAGTCAGACGTTGAAGTAACTGTAAAAATGCCCCACGTTCTATTCAGGAAAATATGGGGGGGGGAATGAGAAATGCCAACCGGCTAGGATGAAGGATACCCCACTAAAATAGAAAAGAAAGATGTGAGCAAGTGAGAGAACGGCTGTCGGTACTAGGAGAAGTTTTGTTCATAGTGTTGCTGAACCGGATGAAGGATTCAGAAGATGTACAAGTCATGTACAAACCAAACTGTGATCCCGTGGGTCATTGTTGAACAAGCAATTGAATAGAAATGATCACAACCACCAACCTTACGTAACCAAATACACGTAACTGTCTCGAAACAGCAAGAAGTGAGCACAAAAAATCAATCGTCTTATTCAAGTTTGTGACAAAGATCTTGGATGTGTTGGCTCTTGTGCAAGTGCGCACATTGTAAATAGGTGTGCTACTAGGAAATGAATGTGAGTTGTGTAGTGTCTGTGTTGCTCCTACAACTATAAAATAGTTAGAACAACTCAGTACCAACAAATTATCTGAATGTTTTTCAAAGGTTTACACCACTCAGTAGCCTTGGCGTGTTCTCATTTTCCAAATGAATATTGCATAGGTTTATATATATATATATATATATATATATATATATATATATATAGCATAGCTTATTATACTTAAGACGAAATTTTCACTTCGCTAGCAATTTGTAAGGAATGGTCTGTGCTGCTGGATTAGTATTCATGCTCAACATTTCCTGTTGTGTTCCAGACCTTGTGATTAAGTAACTTTATGCTACCACAAAGTTTGTTTGGTAACTTAGGTAGGGAAGTTCGTGACATTTCCTTCAAATTCAACCCTCGAAACAAACGATTCTCATTTTTTATAAAGTAGATTAGTGTTGAGTTGAATATGAATTAATAATATGACACAAATCCTCAAATGTCAGCTTATCAGTCAGTTATATGCAAATTAAAACATAAGGCATCTGTATACCAGTCCAAGTCGCCACACTTCACGAACACAGACAAGTGGAATTTTTAAAAAATCCTAGGTTGGTGGTGGAAGAGATTATGCATCTTAAACATTATTCTAAAAAAACCTAATTTTTGGTGGGTTAAAAATATAGTTTTCTGGCCATATCGCCAACTACGCTAATGTGATTACCTTCTGAAATGTGGTACAAGCGGAAATTAAGAAGATATATATCAGAGACGATGATGATCCGTTAGTAGTAGTAAGTTTGTGTATTTGGGTAATTGTGTAAATACTGGCAATGGAGTGATTAGTGAGATTATTCTACGTGCAGTGAGAGCTAGTGATTTATGCTAGTCCCAGCCATCTTTCGTACCGTTGTGTAGTTAGTCTGGATGTAAAATGTCAGATTTACAAAGCTTTGGTTTAAGCAGTTTTGCTGTGTTTGTAAAACTTGACCCCTTAGAGTTGGAGATGTTAGAAAATTCTGTGTTTGGTGATCGTTGTCTCCGGAGGATTAGTGACATTCAGTGGTCATTGCGTTGTCATTTCATTATTCATAAGTGTGATGAAACTATAACTGGAAGGATTCTTATCAACTGCCTCTCGTATCATATATTGTTTATGTTGATTTTTTGACTTATTTTTCCTTGTAAAAGGTGTTTCTGTTTCCTCATAACGTTACTTATATTTTGGCCCCCTGAATGCCCTGGTACGGCCGAGAGTGGGGAGAGTCCGCTCTCCCTCTCGAAATACTCTCACACGGCCACGCGTATACAGCCTCTGCCAGGGAAGTCCTACTCATTGCCTTCTCGTGGCGGGGGTGTTGTCTACGAAAATGAGAGGACGAAAAGCGAATGTCCGGCGCTTTAACCGGATTCCAAATCAATGGTGCACATGGGCTCCAGTATCCTGCGGGAACGAATGGCGTATGAACCAATCGTTGGTCACCGGCTACCATGGGACTGCATCTCCTTACGATGCTCCACTGCCTTGTGGGTTAGACCTTTAGGTCAAAGGCTCGGGGAGTGGCCCCCTAAGATAACCACCTGCTTCGGTTTGGGCACCCGGGCAGTATCACAGCCCACACACAAATGATGAACTCTTTATGCCTATGGAAATTATCTTTCTCGCTTTGAAAAACAAACAATTGATTCAGATTATTATCATTACAATTATTGTCATTATTAATACTAATATTATTATTACTACTATTATTGTCATTATTGTTATTATTATCATTATTATTATTATTTTCCACATTATTCACCCTCTTTTATACTTATACAGCGGCTCGTCTTTGGTGGAAATCCGACTGTATCTAAACGTTCTCGAGTCACTGTCCGGTTGAAAATTGTATGTTACCACCGAATACGAGGACTGAAGCAGATTTTCTGAAACCACGTGCACCATTCAAACTGGCTGCCTTCAACGTTCGCACATTTATGCAGGTCGGACAACAGATAGGGCTGGCTATGTCTTTGGAAAGTCTTAATATCGACGTGTGTTGTCTATCCGAGACCCGTATTCAAGACTCTGGCGAAGTACTACAAATTCGATCTCCATCTGTCGCTTCGAAAAGCTTGTTTTACGTGCGCTTATCCGGGGACCCTGTGGCATCTTCGTCTGGTCTTGCTGGCGTTGGTGTCGCACTAAGCGCTAGAGCTGAGGCAGCACTAGTCGATTGGATCCCCATTAACAGTCGGTTATGTGCTGTTAGATTAGAAAGTTCCATCAAAGTGAGAAGAAATCGGCGTGAGAAACGATGTCTTTTCGTCATCTCCGCCTATGCCCCGACAGATTGCAGCCCGGATGCAATCAAGGATGAGTTTTACCACCAGTTATCAGTTCTTCTCCAGAAAGTGCGTTCGACAGATATTGTAGTACTAGCCGGAGACTTGAATGCTCAGGTCGGGCGTCTAGGCACAGAAGAGAGTCGTTTAGGTGGCCGATGGGGACTCGTTGGTCGCAGGTCAGATAACGGGGACCGTCTACTGCAACTTTGCACAGACCACAACCTGTTTCTGGCTAGCACTAACTTTCGGCACAGTCATCGCCGATGTGCCACCTGGCGTCCTCCCTCTGCATCTCAAGCCTGGACTCAGATTGATCACATCGCGATCAGCTACCGCTGGCGTGGTTGTGTAAAAGACTGCCGCTCCTTTTGGAGTACCTATCTGGACTCTGACCATGCCTTGGTCTGCGCCAATCTTGCCTTACTTTTCAGTGGACAACGAAGTGAACGCCATCAACGGATTGATGTTAGCAAGCTGGTTGCAACTTCTGTTGCAAGTAAGTATCGAACCGAGCTAGCCTCTAGGCTAGCTACCACTCCACCGAAAAGTATAGATGAGCATTGGTTGCAATTGCATGACGCCATGAAAATGGCGGGAACAGTCAGTTGTGGGTTTGCGAAACGTCCCGCTTTTAAGCACTGGGTTTCTTCTGGTTCCTTACAACTCATTGAAGCCCGTCGGTCTACTCCGGGTGACCGTGAGTTTGACCATAAACGAAGGATGTTACGTAAGGAAATTGGGCAAAGCTTGCGTAAGGACCGAGAAGCCTGGTGGTCGATGCGTGCTAATGAGCTGGAAGCAGCAGCTGCATCTGGTAACTACCGGAAGCTCTTCCAGCTCATCCGAGCCACTGGCAGCAAGAAGTCTGGTGTGAGTGAAACAATCTGCGAGGATGATGGGATGCCAATCACTAACATCCATCGACGTCTTGGACGATGGGCAGAATTTTTCGAAGGGCAGTTCAACTGGCCTGCTGCTCCGGCAACATCGGTCAGACTGTCCTGCCCTCCATGGCCGGTGACGACTGATCCACCAAATGAGGAGGAAGTCCGCAAGGAACTCCAACTCTTGAAGCGTTACAAATCACCTGGCCCAGATGACTTACCTCCGGCTCTTTTTAAAGATGGTGGTGACTTTTTGACTAAGGAATTGACGACGTTGTTTACAAAGGTTTGGGAACTAGAGAGTGTACCAACGTCATGGAATGAGTCGATAGTTGTCCCTATCTTTAAAAAGGGTTCACGTCGTTCTTGTAACAACTATCGGGGGATAAGTTTACTTCCGATTGCGTCCAAGCTATTGGCTTCCGTCATTCTTCGTAGGTTGTTCAAAACCCGAGAAAGATTGACTCGCGAGGAGCAGGCTGGGTTTCGTTCTGGTCGAGGATGTATTGATCATATCTTCACCCTCCGCCAAATGTTAGAACACCGCCATACTTTTCAAAGGCCAACAATCGTAGTGTTTCTTGACATCAGGGCTGCCTTCGATTCGTTGGACAGGACTGTTCTCTGGGATTGTCTATTGAAGAAGGGTGTGCCTGAGAAGTTTATTAACATCCTAAAAGCCCTATAAAAAAACACCTCAGGCAGAGTGAGGGCATACAACCACCTCTCTCCATTGTTCCATTCGAGCAGTGGGGTTAGGCAGGGTTGCCCAATCTCACCATTCCTCTTCAACTTTGCCATCGATGACATTCTGGAAACAGCTCTGATGAATGTAAGTAATGGTGGTGTGGATCTGTTGCCTGGAGAAAGACTTCTCGACCTTGAGTATGCGGACGATATTGTCTTACTGTGCGATAATGCCCAAGGCATGCAATCCGCACTTAATCAGTTGGCAATCAGTGTCCGTAGGTATGGTATGTGCTTTGCACCTTCGAAGTGCAAAGTACTTCTACAAGACTGGCAGGATTCTAATCCTGTACTCACCCTGGACGGTGAGCAGATAGACGTAGTTGAGAAGTTCGTGTATCTGGGTAGCTGCATAAGTGCTGGTGGGGGTGTGAGTGATGAGATCAATGCACGAATAGTGAAAGCCAGAGCGGCTTATGCCAATCTGGGCCACCTTTGGCGCCTTCGTGATGTTAGTCTGGCTGTAAAAGGTCGGATCTACAACGCGTCGGTGAGAGCAGTTTTGCTCTATGCTTGTGAAACCTGGCCTCTCCGAGTTGAGGACGTTAGACGACTCTCTGTGTTCGATCATCGCTGTCTCCGAAGGATTGCTGACATTCAGTGGCAACACCATGTCAGTAATGCAGAGGTTCGGCATCGTGTGTTCGGGCACAGAGATGATAACTCAATTGGTGTCACCATCTTGAAACACCGACTTCGGTGGCTTGGACATGTTCTCCGAATGTCGTCCCAGAGAATTCCACGTCGTGCATTATTTGCCGACTCTGGGACTGGTTGGAAGAAGCGGAGAGGTGGTCAGTGCATGACATGGTGTCGTGGCATGAAAGAAAGCTGCAAAGGACTGGCTTGTGTTGGTCCTTCACGACTCCCTGGTTGGGGTCCGAGAGATGGTGCTACACAGTGGCTAGAGACGTTATCAGATATGGCTCAGAATAGAAGCCAGTGGCGATCCTGCTGTAACCTTCTTTTACTTTCTTCATAAAAAGTGGTTGTGTCTTCCTTACCTGAAAGATTTCTTCTGATTGTACCTTTTCGTTCCGTCGTTACTACCACACTACCTTACTCCAATCTCTTCGTCATTGTTCTCTTTTTCTTTTGCGTTCCTTAGTTTTTTTTTTCTCTTTCTACTTCTCTTCGAATTCTCATTGTTTTGTGTGGCGCATATATATTGGCGCTCTCTTGTACCAATATTTATGTGTTCAAATAAATAAATAAATAAATAAATAACTTATATTTTGTGTTATGCATTTTATTCTTGGTTCCTTAATTTATTATGTATCATATGAAATAAATCACCTGGTGTTACCAATCATTGCACAATGTGACGCTACCATGCTTCAACACTTCAGGCCTTATCACCTAAAGTGATCATATTGAATCAAATGAGCTAGTTTTTTCAGTATCGTAGTTTGAATATAACTTAAAAACCGTACGAGACCGACGGCTTTTCAATAAGCGCTCAAACATTGTGGGTCTCTCTCCAAACAAGGAGCCTACGATTCTTGTGTATCTTAAATTCACCATGCTCACATCCGTATAAGTAGAACCGCCTTTGTACTTACTAATCGATGGCTTTATATGCTATTGCGAACCAGTACTGGTAAGCATCCTGAGTGAGTGTTTTTTATGAATCGTACTATATTCCTGAATTTAACTTCAGATGTTACTCTAGATCGGCATATGTTTGTAGTTCGGTTGTTTTTTGAATGAAGTATACTTAAGTGGGGTCTTTATATATTGACTTAACAAAGAAACTTGCTCACAAATATCGTTCTCAATGTCACGCTAATGCGAAGCACAGTTTAAACAAATGCTTCTGCTAATACATGATAAATATATCTTTTATCAATATGCACAAGGAAAAGTAAAATCCGGAAATATAACGGAGTGTGCAGCAGATAAATAACACTTGATGGGGAAGCTTGGAAGAGGTGGGAGGTCTTATGTACTTGGGCAGAATTGTAGATAGACAATATAATCTAATGCACATTTGAGGGCATGGACTGGCAAAGCAAGGATAGCTTCTACAACTGTAAGTTAACACCAAAGTTAAGATTTTTAGTGAAAACGTCAAGACAGCTCTACTTCACGAAGCTGAAACTCGGATAACTACGATAATCATTGTCCGGAAGGTACAGGTATTTATAAGCAGTCATCTACACAAGACACTCCAGATCCGTTGGCCAGATACTGTCAGCAACAACTCGTTGTAGCAGAGAACAAACCAACTTTCAGCTGAATAAGAAATTAAGAAAGGATGCTGAAGATGGATAGAACATATATTGCATCACAAGGCAAGCCGTAACTCGGGATCTTGCACATGGAAGGAAAAGAGGACACCTAGGGTAACATTGCATTGCGAATCGGAGGTATATATTCAAAAAATAAATAATACTTGGCGACAGTTGTCAAGGAGAGCCCAGGATAGATTTGTTTGGAAATTCCTGTTTGGAGGCTTGTCCTCATTGAGGGGTAACAGGCATAAGTAAGTTTGTTGATTTTAAGTGATCTGAGGTCGCATTCTTTTCATTACTACTGACACTATTAGTACTACTATTCTAGGATTTGTTTTGATAATTTTTTTCTAGTTCTGGTAATGTGGTATGTGAACTTGAATGGGACCACATATGTTCTTTATTTCCAGAATCCTCACTAATTACCACTAATTTGATTTTGTTTACCTTTGCCACAGGAACTTGAACAGCTGGAATACTTTTGCAGAGAACTATATACAACTAGTGATCCGGAAATCCGTAGTCAAGCAGAAAAAGCTTGTTCTTCCCTATGTGAACGGGCTGATTGTCCTTCTATATGCCAGTTACTTTTACAGCATTCAACTGTAAATATTTCATTATCATTGCTTTTAATTTGTCTAGTCGTGCTACTCACAGCTTATTGCTTCTACAGCTTTGACTAAATATATTTCCAATCGAGATGCTATAATTTCACATTCATCACGTTTAGCTATTCGTGAGTTTTTTACTCCATTCATCTTATATGTTTCTTAAACAGGAGATTTTGCTTTAAATTATCTAGCTGCGCATGCTGGATTGGAAAAATTTGTACAACAAGCCTTAATCACACTTATTTGTCGGCTAACAAAGTTGGGATGGCTAGATTCAGTAGACGGTAGTCCTGGATTTTGTGATATTTTGGACTGTGCGTCAAAGTTTATTGAGGTAAGTAAACTCTTTTAAGCTGCGAACATAAATTTGAAACAGTTAGCATTTAATATTAGCGGAAAGTTGTTTAATTCGAACTAGCGTTCTTCTTTTTGAAACGATTACTAGTATCTTACTAACAGATTGAATAGTTAGCCCAACAGTGCACGTATACGATGCAATTAGGACTCAGTTACAGAACCTGAGGTTTCTGACCAATTGTTTGATTTTAAAACGTTCAGTAGTGGTGTAAAGTAATATTTAGACCGAAGCCATTATCATGGCGCGACGGTAGGGTACTGTCTGTCGTGAAGAACTAATAGAGTTACCAAACGAACCAGGTTGGTTGGATGGGGTGGATAAGACTGCAAGCAATAAACTCAAAATCCAAGGGTGAAGTCGTATTTCAACTCCACAGGAGTGTAACGTCGGTAAGATATTTTCATCACACAGTAGAAATATGCAGTTATGCTGCTTTCTCAACACGAAAGAAACGGGTTAAAAACGACCCTCTTTTAAAATATGATGTAAGCAGTTCATCTTAATAAAAATGCACCCATAAATTCTTTTCGTTGGGGAAGTTTATCTCACCTAATGGAAAAAGTAGAAGAAATTTACACAGGAGTCTCACCGGCTGAGTGATATCTGATAATGTCTCAAGGTACTGTGTTCCAATATCTCTAGGACCCCAACCAGAAAGCATTAAAAAACCTACGGAAATTAGTCCTGTTTAGCTTTCCACTGTACCGCGGCACCACGTCATACATTGGCCACCTCTCTGCTTTCTCGAATCAGTCCCAGCTTCGGCACATAAAGCACGATATAGATTTTTCTGGGACGACATGCTTAGTACATCTTCAAGCCTCTAATGCTGGTGTTTCGAAATTGTGACAGTCGAATTATCGTCACTTCGCCGTACACACGTTACCGAATCTCAGCATCTCTGACAGTGTTCCCACTGAGGTGTTGGTATATAGGGCCTTCGACATGTTAGTATACTTCTAAGACACACCTTTCTTCAGCAAATGGTCCCAAATGACAGTTTTCTAGCGAAACGAAGCTGTCCCGATACCGCGAAACAACGGTTATTGGCCTACAATAAGTATGGCGGCTTCCTAACACATGATGGAGAGTAAAGACGAGATCAATACATTCTCGAGCAGAATGAAAAGTAACCTGCTTCTCGCGAGTCAACCTTCTATTGGGTTCTAACAACCTGCAAAGTATGACGAAAGCCAATAATTTGGATGAAGTCGAAAGTAGACTTAACCCTCGATAGTTGTTGCATAGATGACATGGACCATTTTTAAACATTGTGACGACCACCGACTCGTTCTAAAATGTCAGGACTCTAATTGCGGAACTTTTGCAGACAGCTCAGTCCTACGTTTAGAAGGTTGCACCATGTTTAACAATGGACTTAGGTAAGTCATTTGGGTTTGGTGATTTGTGGCGTATCAGGAGTTGGACTTCTGCCTCGTTAGATGGGTCAGTCAGTAACAACGTAGAACTTCGTACGTACGTACATCAGTTCGAGTTGCCACACTACATTAGCACAAAAATGCAGTGGTCGATTCAAATCCCGTAGTGGTAGAGGTAATAAGAGTATAAGCAGTAATCAGGAAAATTAGTGTTTGGAGATGTTATTTAAAGAGTATAATACAGTGAAATAAATTTGGAAAGAGGAAAAAAAGGGACATGAAGAATTCAGAAGATTAGAATTTGGGAGAACACAGAGAGTGGATGCACCTGCGCCATTGCAAACGATTTTGAGCCATGTCATTCAGGGTCTCTAACCATCGGTTGCTCGATACTGACCAGTGAGAACAGAACAGTCTTGAGATGATGGAGAAGATTTGTATTTCAAGTAGATGACCTCAGGTAGCTGAAGTTTGCGCTAATGATTTCGTGTTGAAGAATGATGAAAGCTCCACGATCAAACCATCCAGCTCAAAGAACAAAACTCCATCAAAACAGAACGGTCTGATTGATTCCTTCGGAGCGACAGATTAGCTGAACTGTTCCCTGAAGAACTTCAACCATCGTCCGTGCAGTGTGTGGATGTAATTGCTTAGCGTTCTATCAGCTTCACACGCCAACAAAACGAGACGAAGGTGATGTTACGGCGACTCCGGATCAATACAGTCAGTCAGTCAGTAACAACGTAGAACTTCGTACGTACGTACATCAGTTCGAGTTGCCACACCACATTAGCACAGGGATGCAGTTGTCGATTCAAATCCGTAGTGGTAGAGGTAATAAGAGTATAAGCAGTAATCGGGAAGATTAGGGTTTGGAGATGTTATTTATAGAGTATAATCCAGTGAAATAAATTTGGAAAAAGGAAAAAAGGGACATGAAGAATTCAGAAGATTAGAATTTGGGAGAACACAGAGAGTGGATGCACCTGCGCCATTGCAAACGATTTTGAGCCATGTCATTCAGGGTCTCGTCACACACCAGACCACAAGGGCTGATGAGACTTCCAAGATAAGTGAAGCGGTCGACACACTCAACTACTTCACTCCCTATCACTAGTTCGGGTGTCGATGTAACCCAATCCTGAAGCAACATTTTGCATTTCGAGGGAGAGAATCGCATCCCGAACATGCTTGCATTGTTGCTTAGAGTGGTCAGAAGACTCTGCATTTTGTCAGCGTCTTCACCAAATAAAACTATGTCATCAGCATATTCTAAGTCAACAAGTGAACCTCCCGGTAGAAGTTCAACCCCTGGAAATTTAGATGAGGAGAGTGTTATCTCTAAAAGTACGTCGACCACAAAGTTGAACAAGAATGGGGAGAGTGGACAGCCCTGACGAACACCACTTGAGGTAATCAATTCTGATGACAGTTCGCCATAAGCTCTCACTCGACCAGTTGTGTTCGAGTAGAGAGCCTTTATAAGGTTAATGTACTTCTTTGGTACTCCTTTCAGTGACAAACACTGCCATAGAACCTCACGATCAACAGAGTCGAATGCCGCCTTAAGGTCGAGAAATACTACCATTGTGGGGCGTCTGAATGTGTGTCTGTGTTCTAGAACCTGACGTAGTGTGAATATCTGATCTATACAACCACGTCCAGGTCGAAAACCGGCCTGGTTTTCTCTAATCTGCTCTTCACGAGCTTTGATTAGGCGTCGAAGTATTATTGAAGCTAATATTTTAGACACTATATTAGTCAAACTGATTCCTCTGTGATTGTCACAAGAGGACTTTTGTCCTTTCTTATAGACTGGCACAATCAGTGATTGAGACCAGTCAGATGGGATTACGTCCAGTTCCCAAATTCTACCTAAGACCTCAGTTAATCTCATTGCTAATACTGGACCACCATCCTTAAAAATCTCAGGAGTAAACCTGTCAGGGCCTGCTGCTCTCCCTCGTTTCAGATTTCCTATGGCTTTTTCAACTTCGTAAAGGGACGGAGGACCTACATTAACTTGCCATTCAGGTTGACTAGAGATCGTGGGAAACCGAAGTGTGGCTGAAGGCCAGTTGAACTGATCCCTAAAGTGTTCTGCCCATCGATCCAATCTCCTGGATTGAGAATGAATAATATGTCCATCTTTCTCTGAGATTGTTTCGCTAACGGTCGGGTTCCTAATTCCGGTTTCCTTAACGAGTCTGAACAATTGTCTGCTATTACCTATTGCCGCTGCCTTTTCCATCTCTCTTGCTTTCGCTACCCACCACTGTTCGCGATCATTGCGTAGACTTCTTGTCAGCTTGCGCTTAAGCTGACTCCGCTCTTCATTATGTTCAGAGCCAGGTGGAATGAGTTTCCGAGCATCTATCAGTGCGATAGATGCTGCTGAGATCCAGTGTTGCTCCCTAACCTTCTGGTTTACCTTACTAGCAGATATCACTGCTGTTTCCACAGCTTTTCGGATATCATTCCATGCTGCATCGGGGTGGGCATCACATACATGGCTGCCTAACTGTTTTCCTAGTTGTTCCTGAAATATACTCTTAGCTTGACTATCATTAAGTAGGCCCTAAGAGGTTTCCTTGCAGCGTCTTTCCTACGTCCAGTAAGACGCAAGCAAATACGCGCTCGCACTAGAGCATGATCTGAATCTAGGCATGTGCTCCAGAATGAGCGACAGTCTTCTATCGAGCCCCTCCATCGGTGGCTGATAGCGATGTGATCTATTTGGGTCCAACGTTGGGACGAATTAGGGGGTCGCCATGTTAAAAGATGTTTTTCCTTATGCTTAAAGTTAGTATTTGCAAGGAACAGGCGGTTATCTGAGCATAGCTGCAACAGACGGTCGCCATTATCTGTTCTTTGAGCCACGACACCATAAGATCCACCTAGGTGTCTTTCCCTATCGCTTAGTTTACCTACTTGAGCATTAAAGTCACCGGCCACTATTACTACATCCGAGCGCTTAGCTTTTCGGAGAAGGTCCGAAAGCTTTCTGTAAAACTCATCTTTTACATCATCTGAGCTGCAGTCAGTGGGAGAATAGGCAGAGACGACGAAGAGGCAACGACGAGTGTCCCTATCTTTCCGGATTCTTACTGTTCCGTTCAGTCGGACAGCGCACAAACGACTGTCTACTGGGATCCACTCTAAGAGAGCTAGTTCTGCCCTAGGACTCAATGCTATACCTACGCCGGCGAGGCCACGGGAAGCAGAATCAGGGCTTCCAGATACACGAAGCGTAAATCGAGTCGGTTCTTTATTTTGGCATGGTGAGGTCAAATGAATGACGCTACTTGGATCCTGTATGCGCGTTTCGGAGACGCAGCACACATCGATGGCGCGAGATTCTAAAGTCTTAGCTAAGGAAGCCTGCTGTCCTATTTGGCAAAGTGTTCGTACGTTAAAAGCTCCTACGTGTAGTTTAGAGCGTGGTTTCAGGAGACCAGGAATGGCGTTCCACGTACTCGAATCGTTTGCCCTAGCGGTGCGAGGTGATAAAGAGACGTGAGGAGGGTTAGTCATGGAGATAAGAGAGGTATTAGGAGGTGTAGGAAGGATTTGAATGTGACCAACTTGGTCTCTTGT